AAGAGGGGAATCAAGGCTCAAGGTCAGGACTGAAGGGATGGCTCAGTGGTTAACAGTGGCTGCAAAAAACAAAACAAAACACAAAACAGACACAGAAAGGCTGGGAGTTGGTGATTCACACCTTTAATCCTGACACTTAGGAGGCAGATGCAGGCAGATCTCTCTGAGTTTGAGGCCAGTCTGGTATACAGAGTGAGTTCCAGGATAGCTATGGACAGACACACACGGACACACACACACACACACACACACACACACACACACACACGACACTGGCTGCTCTTCCAGAGGACTGGCGTTTGAATTGCAGCAACAACAAAGCAGCAGCTCATACCATCTATTACTGGTTTTAGGGGACCCAACACCCTTTCTGGCTTCTGCCTGCACTGGGCACACATGCAGTGCAAATACACACACGCTGGCAGGCCTGGCCTACATAGTGTGTTCCAGGCCAGTCAGAGCTTTGTAGTGATATCCTGTCTCTGTTCCTTCCCCAACCCCCGAAAGTTCAAGGTCATCCTCAGCTACAAAGCTTTTTGAGGTTAGTCTCTGTAGTACGGTTACATCCATAAAGACAGAAAATAAGAGGTTGTGGTCAGGGGCTGAAGGAGGAAGAAAGGGAGAAAACTCTGGGTCCAGTTTCAGTTTTACAGCATGGAGAAGTTCTAAAGACTGATTGCCCAACATCAACAATACAGTGACGGGAGGTGGTGCACCTGTAATGCCAACTGCCAAGGGCGGAGGGAGGAGGACCCAAAATGAAAAGCCTGGGCCAGCAAGATGGCTTTAGTGGACAAAGACATCTCCTTCAGAGACTGATGGACCTGAGTTCAAACCCCTGAATCCATATGGTGGAGGAAAAAAGGGACCCCATGTTATCCCAATTTCCACACCTCTGCCACGGCCTCCATGTGCAAACACACACACACAAAATAAATAAATGTAAAAAGACATTAAAAAGCTGGCCTCAAGTACACAGAGAGTTCAAGACAAACCCCTGAGCTACGTATACTCTGACCCCACATAAAAATTAAAAGGAGTGGGCATGGCAGAGCAGCTGCCTAGTACACAAGAATCCTGGGGTTTAGTCTTCATTATGGGGTGAAGAGTGAGAAGAGTATGTGAACCCAGACAGTACATTTGTTACATGCTCTTCCTACATATGCATACATACATACATACATGCACACAACACACACACATTTTATTTGGGAAATGAAGACAACAGCTGAATTCTGCCATTTTCCTGGTCCAGGCGGTAGCAGCAACCTCCAGTTCTGGAGGAACCTGAGCTGAAAAACAGCACTTCCACACTTGGGGACACCTATTATATTTTTAACAAAATTTTTTTTGGGGGGACAGGGTCTCTCTACATAGCTCTGGCTGACCTAGAACTCATTAAGTAGACCAGGCTGGTCTCAAACTCAGAGCTCAACCTGCCTCTGCTCCCTGAGTGGGGGTTAAAGGCAGTCACCACACACACAGCCTTTCCCTTTTTTAAGAAGTTGCTCACCCTTGCACACTGCCAGCTCGACAGTCCCGCTGCCATGAGCATCTGGCATGTCCCAGGCTCTATGCTAGACGCCAAAGAAACCCAGACTGCTGCAGCAGGAACACCAAATGTGACAAAGGTGACAGAAAATGGGGAAGAGAGACCTGCTTTAGACGCAGTAGCCACAAGTTCTACAGCAAGCAAAGCAGCCCAGAACAGGGGTAGTGCGCCATAGGGAATAGGCTGGGGGTGGACATGGTCCTCTATGGCTGCCTGGAGGACCCTGACCTTGAGCTCTCTACACCTTGTGAGTCCGAGGCTTGCTTATGAGCTGAGAGAGGAGGAATTCTTAAGACTGAAAACCAACAGCTTTCAACAGAAGAGAGCAGGGCCAGAAGGCCACTGGGACAATCAGAGGACCCTCCCTTGAAGCTCTCCAATACAAAAGGGCTCCAGTCTTCCCCAGCAGCACCCCCAGGCTATGGGCTGTGGTGTCAAGTTACCAGGGCAGGACCAGCCCCAAACTCACCTGAGGTCCTTCCTCTGCTGAGGGAGGAGGTGTCTCTCCTGGTAATTCTCAGAATGGAACTGTAAGAATGCCCTGCATTTAAAAGACTACAAACATACACCGCTACCTCGCTACCTCACCACCATTTGCTCCAGTCTCAAACAGCAGCACAGAACATCCTACTTCCCATTGCCCCTACACATGACCATGACTTGCAGGGTGACCTCACACTCTCCCTGTTCCATTATCACCACACACCTAAGAAAAGGAAGAAAGCCTTGGCCTCCAGGTAATGCTGCAGGGCCTGAGCTTTAAACAGGGCCAAGTCTGTCCTGCTTTATAGCAGCTACCTCGTTGCCTGGCCAGCTTCTTCCTGTCTTAAGGTAGCAGCAATGCCACCACCCAACCCAGGAGGTGCTGCAACAAACTCCAGAGCGTCAGGAGGTAGCCAGAATAGTGGGCTCATGGTCAGTGCCCCGGGTCACCCCACTGTGCTCCCTTTTCGTGTCCAAATGCTCCTGACTCCAGAGTGGCTCGCGAAGACTCCTGCTGCAGTACCAGTGCAACCCAATGCCTAACAGTGCACCTGCCTACTGTCCAGAACAGACTTTCCCGAGAAAAGCAGCACCAAGAAGTCATTCAGCTGAACAGGGACCGCAGCCAAATGTCAACTGTGAAGACCAGTTTCTTTTAATTGGATAGGATTTTGGCTTTGTTTTGAGTTAGAGTCTCATCTAGTTGAGGCTGACCTCAAAAATCACTGACCTTCAACTTCTGATCCTCCTGCCCTCACCACTTTTGCTTGCTGGGACTATGGGTATTTGCCTCCAAACCCAATTTTAGGTGGTGCTGGAGACTGAACCCAGCGTTTTACTGATGCTAGGCGAGTACTGTCTCCAGGCTTGCTGTTAATGACTAATATCTATCAAGAGCCTGTTTTCTAACATGCTGGTTCAGTGTTACACGTTTATTAACTTTTTACAGATGAGAAAACTGGCACCAGCAGGCCTCAGATCCTGCCTGATATTCTGGATGGTCTGGTGCCCAGCGCAGATGGTTCCCAAGCTGTAGGCAGTGCCTGCTCAACTTGCCTGCACAGGGCAAGGATCCCTTAGCCTTGGAGTCCCTGGCTTCCTGCACGCCTCTCCTAGACCTAAGCTAAACTCAAAGTCAACTCACGGGCCTGAGCAGGACTTCTACACCCTGTACCACATTTCAAACAGGTATTCTCTTTGTCCTGTTGCCCTGCTTGTCTGAGGACTCTGCACTATCACTATAGGGCACAAAAGTGCTCCTCACACAGAAGAGCAAGGTGCTGGGCCTGTTCCCACAGGGAAGGAAGCTGTCTTGAGCACCTCAGTGACCTGCACTCAGACCTGGAAACCCACAACGGGACAGGTGCACAATTACTTTTTTAAGTTGTTTAACAGCAACCCAACCAACTGTATTATTAACTGCAGATTTAAACACAATAGTGGCATTTAGGGGAAATGATCAACTCATTCTTTACTCTTAGATGTATTTGAAAAGAAAAGCAAAAACATACAAATAAAAACAAAACCCTCAACCATTCCATCCAAACTCAACCTCCATCAGTTTCTAAACTCTTTTCCTCTCTTAGAACCAGTTTCCAACTTAAGGCTACTTTCTTTTTAGGAAGGGCTGCCTGCATCCATGCGTGCATTCGTGTGTGTTACACATGTGGAGGCCAGGAGAGGAGATGGTGGTCAGAACCCCTGAAGCTAGAGTTGTAGGTAGCTGAGGAGCTGGGTGCCGGGACCTGAACTTGGGTCTTCTTTGAGAGCAGCAAGTACTCTTAACCGCTGAGCCACCTCTCCAGCCTCCAAGGTTACTTTCTTTGCAACACCCTCCCAGAAACACCCTAAGAAGGTGTGACACAGCCCTACCACTCTTCTGTAATCATTTCAGATTACTGCTGCAGACCAGATTCGCAAGCAGATACCCCTTCAAAGGGAGCTGGGTTGCCTCCCGGCAACAAGGAACTGCCCTTGACTTTCATTGTCTGATGCACCTTCAAGGGTCTAGGAGAACCTAAACCTACACTGGGATGCAACAGCCTGATGAGGTGCTCTCCCTAGCCTTTGAAATGGTAGGAGTCTCTGTTAGACACCTCTAAAGTCAGGAGAAAGGGTAAAGGATGGGTATAAAACAAACTAATATCGAGGAACTCACATAAATAACTGATTCAAAATTACTACACTGCACACAGGCAAGAGAACCAAAGGCACACAAGCAAACAAACCTGTACCCTTTCTAAAACATCAAGCATGTAAAGGCACAAACTGTGTTGAGTGCTGGCCACACTCTAGCCTCTGACTTGTTGCTTATCATGTCTGGCTGCACATTCCAAATTCAATTAGGCATTAAGAGAAAATGGGTGGAAATATTTGTCATTGCAATTATGTTCCAAACGTCTGTAATTAATCTATGAGAACGGAGACACTTTCACTGAAAGCGCAATTCTACCATTTTTACTGTGAAAACTGCCAGGCCTGCAGTCCAGGCCTTACAAGTTTTTGGGAAAAAGAGGCAGGATCATGAATTCATGGCCAGCCCAGGTCTCACTGTGAGATCCTCCCTTGAAAGGCCAAGGACTGGGGGAGCATTATCAGAGGTCTAGCGTGTGTAAACTCTGAGCTGGAACCTAACCACGAAAAGTAAAATTAAAAAACAAAAACAACAACAAAAAGGTGAAAGCCCTAGGCTCTCTTGCTGAAAAGCTAGTGACAATTAATGGTTGCTGGAGGAGAGGGTATCATTTCCTCTAATGGTACAGCCACTGGGTGACTAGATGGGAAGAAGGGGTTCAAAGGGAAAGAAAGGAAGAGGGTTATGGGTGCGAAACTATCAAAAATAAAAGTTTTCCCGGATTAAAAAAAAAAAAAAATTAGAGGAAAACGCTGTGGCCTGGGCCCCTCCGGCGCTCCGAGGACCCGCGCAGCGAACCCGGCGGCCGCATCTCCGGCCCGCGGGCCTCACCTGGCGCGCGGCCGGCCCGGCTCCGTTCAGCAGCGGCGTCTCCTCGTCGGGCTGCCCGGTCCTTCGAAGAAGCGGCGCCGCCTCCTCCTCATCGCGGTCTCGGCCGGACCAAGACACCTTCTTAGAGACGTTGGCCATGGCCCACTAAGGACCAAACTCAGAAAGAACAGCCGGCCGCCCGGCAGCGTTCCCGTGACACCCGCCCGGGACTCACGTGATCCACCATCGATGCCCACGTGACCGAGGATGGCAGCCGGCGAGGTCCGTGAGCGCGGGGTCGCTTGGGAGTTGTGGTTCACTGCAGCCCAGGCTAGAAACCTGGCTCTCGAGAGCGTTAGCAGCCAGTCTTCAAGGAAGGAAGTGACTCAGACTCTAGAGAATAACTACCCCGAGATGCACTCACAGTCCCGGAAGAGAAGATGCTATGGTAGAAAAAGAAACCAGCCGTAAGGGTTCTGGAATCGTCCCTCTTAACCAAGCTGGCTTCTCGTGTCTCCTGTGCCATGCCGCCGGAAGGGCAGCCGCACTACTGCAATTCCGGGAAAGGGCTTGAGACCCTGACATTCCTGACAAGTAAAGGTTTCTTGGAGGAGGAGGGGACTATGAATGACAGCGCATGGGTGTGGTGTTAAGTAGCCTTGGGTTGCTTTGGACATTAGTGCTGCTGCTGCTGCTGCTGCTCTTTTTGGTGTTTTTGAGACAGGGTTTCTCTGTGTAGCCTTGGTTGTCCTGGACTCGCTTTGTAGACCAGGCTGGCCTCAAGCTCACAGAGATCCACCTGTCTGTACCTCCCTGAGTGCTGGGTATTACAGGCGTGGGCCACCACTCCCAGCAAGGTTAAGTTTGCCAAGTGAAGTCTTAAGTGTTACATCAAAAAGGTTCTTAGATGTATCCTCAATTCCATAGGGGCAAGGACTGGGATTTTATACTGCAACTATAGGAACTTGAAACTTAACAGTAGTCATTATGGGTGGCACTCCACAGATAAAGAAGGAAAATGGCGCCATGTTAATTTTGAGCAGTGTCATGGCAATTGCATTACAAAAGGTGGTAGAAGGGATCAAGGAAGAAAGTTACACTTAATAGGTACAACGTGAAAGTTAACATTTAACAGAAATATTGGAAAGGCTGGAGTTGATGTGGGCAACATAAGAGGACGGAAGATCCTATAAAAATAATTAAAATATGATTCAGACTTTCAGTGGTAACAAAAATCATGTCTAAGAGAGTTAACGAGGATTTCGGATATACGTGTGTATATATTATATTACCTTGCAACTGTTTTTAGGTTCGAAAATTTTCAAATCAAGGAAGTTTTAAGTTCTTCTTAACTTCTAAGAGTGAGAGTATTTCAGGAAATGTCCTTCCTTTCATACAATTCAAAATAAAACCAAAATTAAACACAGAATAATAAGAAGAAAGTTGTCAGGTGTAGTGGCGCACACCTTTGATCCCAGCACTCAGGAGGAAGAGGCAGGAGGGTCTTTGTGAGTTCGAGGCCAGCCTGGTCTACAAAGAGTCTAGGACAAGTCCTGTCTCAAAAAACAAACAAAAAAAAAAAAAAAAGAGGAAGAACGTCAAATGAGGTTCTGTATTTTCCTCATGAGTACCCTACAAATAAGAGTGTGTGTTTGTGTGTGTGTTATAACAAAAACAAGATTCCCTCCAAAAAGGTATAATTTTCTCATTGATGCACCTTGGCTTTGTCATTTTGCAAGAATTGTGATAAGGCTATTATGACTCTCTTTTGTATTGCTGGACACTGAGGTAGGGAAATTAAGCTGGCTTGTTTATCTAGGATCATTAGTGTTCAGTGGGGCTTGAACATGGATCTGTTTACTTTCAGAACTTTGATCAGAAGCTAGGTAGTGATGGTACATGTCTTCAGTCCCATTACTTAGAAGGTAGAGGCAGGCAGATCTCTGAGTTTGAGACCACCTTAGTCTAGAGAGAGTTCCAGGACAAGCCAGGGTTACACAAAGAAACCCTGCTTAAACACACACACACACACACACACACACACACACACACACACACACACACCTTAGAGGTTCAGAGGTGAGACATGCCCTCTTTTCTAGTTCTTTGTGTGTCACTATTCTTGACACACAATAAAAGTGCAACAGGTTGTTGGTTAAGCTGAATGCAGAGGCTTGGGTCCTTCTGAATGATAGGATTTGGGGAAAGAAAGGATGGGCAGAGGGCTAAGCACAGTAGAGGTATGGGCACAGCAGGGTATGTAGGAGAGAATAATTTTAGGGTGAAGGGTCATGCCTGGGCAGCTAGATGACCTCCATAACCCTTGCTGACAAGGTGGTATAATTCTCACAGCTCCTGACAGACCAGGGCCCTCAATTTTGTTTTTATTGACTTTTTTTCTATTATGGATTGAACTGGGGGCCTTCCACATGTCAGGCAAGTGCTCCATCATAGAACTGCACCCTAGTCCTTGTAAGAAGAGAAACGGACAGGGGTGGACAGGTTGGGTAGAGGAGAACCGATGGCTTCTTGGGACTGACTCCACCCAAGGCCAGGGATGTAATAATGTAATAGATGTAGTTAAGGCAAGAATTTAGTGGCCAAATAAAGGGTGAGGTTCATGCTTCAAAATACCAGTTGTTATACTCTGATACACAAAACTGAGAGCAAGTTTTGTAATCAAACTATTGGAGGTTGAACTTTTCCTGCTGGTTGCTAGGGGTCTTGCGCAGAACAACAATCCCAAGGACCATGCTGTCCCTCAAGCAATCATTAGATCATGACTCTTTCCAGGAGAAAGATGTTGCCCCCTACTCTCCAAAGAGCCAGCATGAAATGAAGCAAAAACTGGTTCCAAAATGTGTCAAGAGACGCAAAGAAGGGATGTTTGGGAAGGAGGGGCTCCCAACTGGATGTGTTTGGGAACAAGAGCTCAGGTTCTTGAGGAAGCAGGAGGCAGTGATTCAGGATCACAGCATGAGGCATCCTTGGTGGGGGGAGGGGGTTTCCAGTTCTCAAATACTCCCTGACTATGACTCAGGAACAGGCGTTCTAGAAGGCTGATTTTAGCTGAAGGCCTAGAGTACTGGGCACACCAAGAGATTAGAAAGATGCTCTTAGGAGACTCATATAGGCCAGAGGTGGTGGTGCACACTGTTAGTCCAAGCACTCGGGAGGCAGACTCGGGCGAATCTCTGAGCTCAAGGCTGGTCTGGTAACAGAGCAAGTTCCAGGACAGCCAGGGCTACACAGAGAAACCCTGTATCGAAAAACCAAAAGGAAAAGAAATAACATAGATTGCGATGATTGCACAGCTTAGCACTTTTATTAAAATCTTAAAAAACAATTTTAAAATGGCACATATTATAATATGAAAATTATCCCTGGTAAATTATGTTGTAAAGCATTACTAGTGTGTCTTTAATGGCAGTTCTAGCAGCCTCAACAGATACTACGGTACAATAGAACAATAATAATCAGCTGATCTCCAGGAAATCCCCAGGGCTCCTGGGAAAGGGAGAGGGAGAGGGAGAGAGAGAGAGAGAGAAGTGGGGGAATAGACTGTTGAGCCTTTTTCATGAGAGGGATGTTGGAACAGCCATGTTCACAGGAAAACTTCAGTGAACCTTTGGAAAGTAGACAACTATGGTAAAAGTACTTCATGTAGTTTCACAAGGGTCCCAGGAAATGGCTTCTCCTCTGTCTGAGGAACCACTTTGATGGCTGCAGAAGTGCCCCAGAAGGAAGTCCACACAAGCCCAGTGTTGCTGTCTGCCAGCTCAGCTGGGGTAAAACAATAGCGTATTACAAATGAATGAGAATGGCTCTGAAGGTGCAGCTTGTAAAAATGTCACTGTGAAGCCAGGAGGTGGTGAAGTAAGCCTTTAATCCCAGCACTCCCAGAGGCAGAGGCAGGTGAATCTCTGTGAGTTTGAGGTCAGTCTGGTCTACAAAGTGAGTCCAGGACAGCCAGTGCTACACAGAGAAACCCTGTCTCAAAAAACCAAAAAAGAAGCAGAGGAGGAAGAAGTCACTGTGATGTGAAATCCAGGTGTCTTGGCACTCAAGAGGCTGGAGGATCATGAATTCAAGCTAATCCGACCTACATAGTGAGAATATGTCAGAGAGAGGGGATAGGAGTCGCATCTGGGGCAGATTGCTCTGAGTTTGGGGCCAGCCTGGGATACAGAGTAAGTTCCCAGCCACTAAGCACAGTATGAGACCCTGTCTCAGAAAACAACATTCAAACAAGACCACAAAAAACAAATCAAAAGAGGAGTTGCGCAACAGTGGAAAGTTGTAGTCTGGGGCCCTCTCTTTCTCCAATGTACATTTTCCATCTACTGCCAGTCTCCATGCAGGAGGTGCCCACATTTGAGCTCAGGTGCACATAGCCCAGCAGAGATGGCAGGGGCGTTATGGGATGTGTTGATATGGAGGCTTGCTCTTCTTGATGGCCTTGACTGTGCTGCAGCCCATGCATGACAGCACTATGGACATTGCTCTAGGCAGGTACATTTGGCTGTCTGCACGAATCCACCCACTGACGTGACATTGGTCAGTGTCAGGATGGCACCTGTCGGGAACTCTTTCCCAGTAGCCAAGTTTGCAACTTCTCTTGGGACCAGTGCCCGGTCCCAGATGGCCAATCCAGATATGCTCCCTACAAAGGCCTCAGAGCTGTCAAACTCACCCCCCATAGTGTCTTGTTCCTGGCCCAGCACAAGGGACCCACCAGGAGGGATCTCATAGCCCTCTCTGAAGTGGGAGCCAGTGGCTACTGTTCTTCTGTCTATGTGGAGCCAGTACTTGCCCTCCATGGATGTCCAGATGATACAAATGTGGTGCCACTGACCGTCCAGTAGTGGTTGCAGGGACAATTCCCTGAAGACCGGGTCACCAATCACGAAGTGGATGGAGCCGGGGACCAGGGAGTCTCGGCCATGCAGTACTAGCTTGTTGTCATTGTCTTTGGTGGCATAGGAAAGGAGTGTGCCCAGGTGGCTGGTGGCCACTCGGACCCAACTACAGAAGGACAGGGCTCGTAGGGGCATGAGGAAGCCGGGGCTAAGAAAGATCACATTTTCAGTGGAGGTGTTGGGAAAGATCAGTACTGGGCCCGTGCTGCAAACTGGAAACAGAGAGAAGAGAGTCAGCCCGGAGCATGAGGCAGCTCAGAAGTGTCCACCCTGCTGAGGGCCTGCCCTGGCGCTCACCTGTATCATCCAAGGGCCTTACCCCCTCTCTGCACTCAAAATCTGAACACTTCTGCTCCACCGGCAAGAACTGAGGATAACTTCTCAGGGAGTGGATGAATCCTCTCTGTGTGACTCAGCTGCCTGTCTGTGAAGAACCTTATGACCAGGGGAACTTCTGTCTGAGTCCCCCACGGCTGCTATAACTCTGCTACAAGTTTACTGACATCAGCCTGAACCTGGTCTCCCAGGATTCAAGTCCCAGTGTTCCATGGGCAGCTTCCTTTAGAGGCTCGGAGAAGCCCACTGTGTTTGGAGGTAGGAGAAGCCCTGCAGGCCTTGGCTCCCAGCTAGCCCCCAGTTCTACAGTACACCCCCTAATCTCTGCCTCTGTCCTGAGGTGTCCTGGAGCTCTGATTCTCCTGTCTTCCTTTCTCTAGTTTATAGTGACTAGTATCAACCAGATAATCTAGGATTATTCTATAGGAAATAAATAGTTATGGTCCATTTTCAGTCTGAGGTGCCTTTAGAACTTATCTGTGGACCTCAGATAAGTAGGCGGTACCAGGGCCCTCTCTTCCTTCTCTAGCGGCTGCCTGTGGGCACTTTTTAGTTCATTTTAAACTGAAAAGTCAGCAGTGTGATTGAGCCCAGTATCAGGAAAGAGAAGTGCATCTCAAGCCCCAGGAGGATTTCGGTTGGGACTACGCTAGATAAGTACAAAAGATTGTACCTCCTTGAAGAACTCAGTGAGAATTCAGGAGGCTATGAGATGCGATTAGGAATATGAAAGTCACTGCTTTGTGCCAAACAATGCACCGACCATTTCTGCCCTTGTTCTAAGTGTAACCACAAACTAAACTATTTCTTTGTTGTGCTCTGAGTCTCATTATTTTTATTGTGAAGTGTGGATCATTGCTTCTCACAATTTCCCACCCTGCGGCTCCCGATTCCACCATCTCAACAGAAGCCCTTCAGCCATGGACCTGACCTGGGGAGGACCTGCAAGTGACAAGGCTGGGCCGTTCTCTCTTCTAGTGTTGGGTATATGGTCCTCGGGGAAAAGCTTTTTGGGGTGGGGAATGGCATTATAACCTCAGGTATTGCTAGGGAAACCTAGAATTTTATAGGGGTGACAAGCTGGCATCACTTACTGTTTCCTGGTCCTTGGTGGGTCCTTGGTGGAGCTACTTGATGGCTGCTTGGGGCTTGGAACTTCTGCATCTCCTGGACACGGACAGTGAAGTCTTGGGGGGAACTCCTGTGCTGGGGTGAAGGCTGGGATGCCTGGCTGTCCCTCCACAGTTGCAAGGAAGCTGAGCCTCGCTGAGCAAGGTTGGGGGCGGGTGCTGTCGTCAGTCCCAAGGCTGCAGTGCTAGAAGAGGCCCTCTGCTTCCGGCCCTCAAGAGCAGCAAGCCTGGCATCCTGGTTATGGACTTGCTGTGTCAAGCTGGTCAGAGCGTCCTGTAGAGCCGTCATGCTCAGGGCCAGGCTTGCAATAGCCTCCTTCTGTGCCTTTTGCTCCTTTTCCACCTCCACCCACTGCCTGCTCTTTGTGTTCAGAGAGAGGTCCAAGGCTTGGAGCCGGATGTCCATCTTCCGGCTCCTGCGCTGGCTCTTCCTAAACCAGGTCTTTAGGTGGGCCACATCCCCTTGTATGGCAGCTTGAGACTGGTTTACTGCTAGAGCTGTGGCTTGGTTCTCTTCCGCCAGGTTCTGGAAGCGGGCATCCATATTGTAGCACACATTGTAGTTGTTGGCAATGTCCTGCAGGTGTGTTAGGGTCACCTGTTGGAATCTCCGAAACTGTAAAGAGAACACAGCTGTTATGGGGTTGGGCTGAGGCCATCCTAAGTACTTGAGGAGCATCTGTTCCGCACCAAGCCTCTGGGGGGCACTGTATACAGACTGACCAAGTCGATCCTCGTCACCATGCTAGGACCTGTGAAGAGATGATTGTGACTAATCCCAAAGGGCCAGCTACAAAGGGGGTGACTGTCCTCAGGCCCCATAGCCTGCATGAGGCTCCAGGTTCATGGCCCCTAGCTGTGACCCTCCGAAACCCTGACACTCTGGAGGACCTCAGCCAGTCATCTCACTGTTCTAGTCCTCAGCGATAGCTCTGTGATGAGTGCATTTAAAAATAGTTTAGATTGAGCTGAGCAGTGGTAGAGATAAAGGTAGGTGGGTCTCTGTGAGTTCGAGGCCAGCTGGGTCTACAGAGCAAGTTCCAGGACAGCCAGGGCTGCACGAGAAACCCTGTCTTGAAACAAAACAAAAACGTTAGATTTATTTGAATTTATGTGTATGAGTGTTTTTCCTGCATGTGTGTTGTGTTCCATGTGTGTTCCATATGTGTGCCCTGTGCCTTCGGAGTTTTGGACAGTTGTGAGCCATCGTGTGGGTGCTGAGAATGAACCTGACTCTTCTGCAACTACCTGTTGCTCTTAATTGCTGAACTATTTCTCCAGCTCCAAGTTTATTTTTTTATTTTTATTTTTTAATTTATATTTTCACAGTTCTGGGGACTGAATCTAGGCTTTTGTGTATTCTAGGCAAGGAAGCCCTCTGCCACTGAGCTACATACAACCTTAGCCTTTTAAAAAGCTTATTTTTATTTAATGTACATTGGTGTTTGACTGCACGTATGTCTATTGCATGGATTGGATTCCCTGAAACAGGAGTTACAAACAGTTGTGAGCTTCCATGTGAGTGCTGGGAATTGAACCCAGGTCCTCTGGAAGAGCAGTCAAGTGCTCTTAACTGCTGAGCCATCTCTCCAGCCCCCAACCTTAGCCTTTTCAGCCTTTTTGTTGTTGCGTTTGTTTGTTTTGAGACAGAATATCACTCAGTAGCTGAGGCTGGCTTAGCACTCACTAAGTCACTCAGGCTAGTTTCAAACTCACAGCAATACTCTTACTCAGATCTAAGTGCTGGGATTACAGATAACACACCACCACGCCTGGCTTTATCAGGATCAGTACAGGACGTGCTTGGGCCGGGGAACTGTCTATAGACCCCACTTGGGACCCTTGGGGCATGGTACATGTTCTGCTTTGAAGTAGACCAGTGCTCTCACAGCTCCGGCAGCTATGGATACTGTCCATAGCCGCTACCCAGGCTTCTCCAGCTGTGCTCTTTGGGCCTCTTAGAGACCTCTTCAGGTCTCCTGCATCTACACACACACACACACACACAAACACATGCGCACACACACTCTCTCTCTCTCTCTAGTTGGACATCAGAGCAGGGCCTAGCAAATGTCTGCCAGCTTTCCAAACACAGGTGGGGATATCGTCAGCTTCCAGCAAGGACTGCAAACCAAGCGCTGTGTCCACGGATCACAGACAGCAGCTGTCTCTGTAACAGCCATCCTTTACCTGCTCCTGGTTTTATATAACCAATTCCCTATGTGTGGTACACTTACCTGCTCTTCTAGTCTACGGAGCCTCTCGAAGAATGGTTTTCTTTGCCCAGCTGAGACAGCTTCCTGCAACAGAGTCCCGTGTACATAGATGGACACAAAAATGAAGAGAAAAGATAGGGTTTTCTTCCTCAAGCAGCCCATGCTGGGGGACACAGACACAGGAGCTGATGTTGGTCCCTCGACTCTGTCTCATGTCCTGCTCCTTGAAGCCTGCCACATGGCTGGTTTTCCTCTTTCTCTCCTGGCTAAGTGTCAGGTTCTTCCTGCCACCTTAATGAAAGGCATCTGCCTTCAATCCAGTGGGCTCCGAGAACCCAGGGTTCCCAGGGAGACAAACTTCAAACAGGCACAAACAGTTTCTTTGGATAATTGTTCTAGTGGATGCACTCAGTTTGTGTGTTTGGCTTGGAGGCCAGCAGGACCCGATAATGGCTCTAACAGAAGCACCTAGACTAGGTCCCACCAAGAAGTCAGAGCAGGACAGGGCTCTGGGCCGGAAGCTGTCAAAGCCAGGTCTGCACTGGTGCCCAGCTTTCCAGCCATGTCCTGAGCCGCCATCCCAGTCCCTTGGAAAAGAACCCCCCCCCCCTTGGTATTGTGACTGGGTTTCACTTTAACTTATTTTTTTCTTCTAGACTGGGATAACTTCAATTAAAATTAGATATTGTTTTCTTTCCTGAAAAAGGATCTTACTGTGTTGCTCATGCTGGTCTTGAATTCCTGGGTTAAGCGATCTACCTAGCCCATAGCTAGGACACACACACACACACACACACACACACACACACACACACACGCACATGTTTTGAATTAATGTGATATTTCAATAAATGTATTATGTAATATTGAAATCAAGGAAAATGTACCTGACTTTTCCTGACTAACTTAGCTAAGGGCTGTGCAGGAGAACAAATGATGACCCTGAGGAGGTCTACCCAAGTTCTGACCCCAGGACCTGTGAATATAGCCTTGTGGGGGAAATGTCTAGGTAGGTCTTTTGATGAGGTTACCCTGGAGTACCTGGACAGCCCTGCACTCAACAGCAAGTGTCCTAATAGAGAGAGAGGAGAGGACACCAAGGAAGAGGCCGGGTGACGATGGTGGCAGAGATGGGAGCAGAGCTGCTGTGGTGGGGGGCATGCCAGGAGCCCCTAGGAATGAGTTTTGAAGTAGCATGCTGCCTTGGTTTCAGACTCTCAGCCTCTGAAGCCGCGAGAAAACAATGTTCTGCTGTCTGAGGAATCCTAGTTTGTAGTAACAAAATAACTCAGGAAGGTGTCCCCAACAAAAACACCAGCATTTCTAAGATGACACTAGCCAGAATGCCATACCAGAGGATAGGCCGCTGATGTCAAGGCTCCTTTGGGCAAGCATCAGACACCAGAGGTAGAGAAAAATCGCAAAAGCCACCCAGGGAGAAAAAGTGTTTATGCAGGGGACTGAAACCATTCCCAGGGGACAGCTGACTTAACATCTGTGCTGGGCAGGATTGGACCCCGGGCACTACAAAAATGACTAGAACACAATGACAACGAGATAAAATAACGTATCTAGCTGGTGTGAATAGAGCAGGAACAGAGTAAAGGCATTTTCAGATACTCGAAGGCTTGAGAAACACGTCGCTCCACCCCAGCTTTCCTGGGAAGCTACCGGACGGTGAGCTTCAGGAAAATAGAGGGATAAGGAACAATGAAGTTGTAGTTTAGGGCTGGAGCCCCAGGAAGGCCTCACTGGGGCTGCCACACCCCACCACCAAGCCTTGGCTCTGTCAGGAGAGACCAGACTTCAGCCTCTCTGACTCCCACAGTGTTCCACATGTGTCCTGACAATGGTATTTGTGGTGGCTCCTTGTTGTCTGCTCTCTGGACTGAACCCAGGGTTGACCTTTATTCTTAATTCTATAATTCTTTATTCTTAATTCTATAATTAATAAAAAACATTTAATTAAAAAGTAATTAATTTATTGGTTTTTCTTTCCTTTTTAAAATTTATTTATTTTACATATAATGAGTTTTCTATCTGCATGTACACCTACATGCCAGAAAAGAGCATAAGATCCCATTATATATGGCTGTGAACCACCATGTGGTTCCTGGGAACTGAACTCAGGACCTCTAGAAGAGTAGACAGTACTCTTAACTGCTAGGCCATTTCTCCAGTCCTGGACTGACTTTGTAGACAAGGCTGGCCTCGAACTCAACAGAGATCCACCTGCCTCTGCCTTCCTAGTGCTGTGATCACAGGTGAGAGCCAATATGCCTGGCTATTTTTTTGGCTTTTTGATACAGGGTTTCTCTGTGTAGCCCTGGCTATCCTAAAACTCACTCTGTAGGCCAGGCTGGCCTTAAACTCAGAGGTCCACCTGCTTCTGTCTCACAAGTGCTGGGATTAAAGGTGTGTGTCACAGCCACACGGCAGTGTTGACCTGTATTATTTATTTATTTTGTGTGTGTATTTACACGTGCATGTGTAGAGACCAGATATTTAAGTCACGTGCCTTCTTCCTCTGGCTTTCCACCGCCTTTTATTTTATTTGGAAACAGAGTCTCCCACTAAACTTTGAGCTCACTGATTAGCTAGACTGGCTGGCTGGGCAAGCTCCCCCTCCCGGTCTACCTATTTGCTCCTGCCCCTGTCCCAATGCCGGGATTCCAGATTGCCGTACCAGATTATCCTCCGAGCCACTCTGTCACCGTCAGCCTGAGCCTGCTTGCAAAAGATCTAGAGTCTGGGCTCGGTGTTACCTCACTGAGGAGGGGCAGAGGGGCAGGAGCCCTCATTTGAGTATCCAGCCTCCTCCCAAGCAGTTGTATGCAGTTCTGCACTAGTTGCGTGTGGCCTTGGGGGTCCTGGAGAAGGGACAGACTCTGGAGGTAGGGAAGGATTGGAGGCAGGGTTCTTGTCTACACAGTCACTGGGGGGGAGGGGGTCATCATCCATGCTGGGTGCAGACCCTCCAGTGTGGCGCTTAAAGGTCACTTATGCTCCCACCTGTCACCCCTCACCCAAAGCCCTCTCAGTAAGCCTCGGAGGAAAATTTGCTGTCAGTGCACCTTGATTTATCATTGGGACTGTAGAAGGAGGGGGTAGACTTTGTATCTCCTTGGCAACACCTCTGTTCTTGGCTTTTATGTGGGTGATGGGGATTTGAACTCAAGAGTCTCATGTTTGTACATCAAGCACTTTGCCTAGTAAATCAGCTCCCCAACTCCCAGGACTGGCCTTTTAAAAAGGCCTTTTATGTGTGTGCAGGCACGCGGGCACACACACACACTATGGAGCACTTGTGAAGGTCAGAGGACAACTCTGAGGAGTCAGCTCTCTCTCTCTGCCATGTGCCTTGAAGACTGAACTCCAGTTAGTTATCAAGCTTGGCAGCAAGGCCCTTTACCTTTTAAGGGAAGACTGGATCCTCCTGACACCCACTTGTTTTAAATAAGGGCACCCATCTTAGCCTGGGGTGCTGGCCAGGTGTTAAGCACTGTTAACACTCTGGTGTTCATTTTCTGAAAATAAGTAAAGATACTGAGCGCTGAGGTGACATGATCCCGTAATTGGCAGTTGCTGGATTTCCCTTTGTTGTCCAGTGTGCCCTGAACAAAAGGATTGTCAGTCAACAGCCCCCTGGACTGCTCTTATGCCAGCACTGATTATCCTACAAGGACTGTTAGGGCCTTGAGAAAACCACAAGATTGCTGATTACTTCAGCTCTGGAAGGCACGGCCTCTAGGTTTTTTGAAACAGTTCACAAGCTCAGGTGAACTCTAGGCGACCTCGCAACTATTTCAACCAGGTTGAGAATGGGAACACGCCCCCTGGTGGTCTACCTAAGGAACTGCGAGGCTGGTGCAAAGGCTGTGATTGTAAGAGCCCCCTTTTCAGGCTTTGAAAGCTTCGATTCCCTTTAGGACAGACTATTTTGTGCTGCTTCCCTTTTCCTTGCAGCTTTAGGTTCAGCAAAAGTCTTCTCTCGAGACTCTTCTTGCCTACTGTCAGGAATGTGGGCTGAGCTGGTATCATGAGGCGGCAGCTGAGAGGCGATGACGGTGAGAGCCAAGCAGTCGGCAGGCAAAGCTGCAAAAGGACAGGCCAGCCAGCTTTGTGATCGCCGAAAGAAGCAGTAGCCAAGGCATCAGCAGAGGGCAAGAACTGAAACTGAATGAGGATAAATGACTAAACCAGAGAAGAGATCTGCTGCAGCCCTGGATGCCAAAAAAGAGTTCCAGAGAGCCAAGGGGTCTCAACCCTAGGCCGAGAATTTTAACACTGGCTGTCAGTAAGAGCTAAGGTCTACACAAAAACTTTAAAGCTTTCGAGGGCTGGAGTCCCAACAGTACCCTAGGCCTTCCTGGTGGAAGCTGCAGCAGCCACAGGAACGTGCTGAGGATGCCTGACCTACACAAGAGCTCGGCTATTTTTAGGGCTAAGGGTCTCAATGCCTCCAGGCCCCTAATACTAGGGGGAGCCAGCTGCCATCTCTCATCGAGGCCAAACATGAAGAAAAATGAAAGCTAGCACTTGAAGAGCTTCTCTTTGACTATGCCCAGTTTTGTTTTTTGTTTTTTTTCCATCTGTGTAGAGCAAACAGATTGCGCCCAGCCAACTAGCACACTTCCATGGGTGCTGAGAACTGAATCTGGGACCCTTGCAAGAGGGGCAAGTGTTTTTAGGCTCTGAGACATTACCTCCGGCCCCCAGTGTGCTCTCTTAACTGCTGAGCCACGAGTGGGGACTTTAGTTCATTTCCTGCTTAGGAAATGATGTTGCCGGATGTTGTTGAATGAATACAAGTTGTCCAGATTTCCACACACACCCACTCTCGCTGAAATGTTGCTGCCTCAGTGTATCTTCCAGCTCAGGATGGTCAAGAAAAGCTCTGCCATGATGGAACATTTCATACGGGTATATTCAGATGGTAGCCAGAGCCCCTGGGAGGGTACCAGCCAGTGGTGTTTCACTGAGGATAGTTTACACGCGGTTTATGGGTTCGTAGTAAACGGTGCCGCTTGGGTACCCACCATGTGCCTCAGCATCACAACTTGTCTAAGTCTGCTGTTCCTGATTTCCTTATTCTTGTTTTCCTGACAGGGCCGACTGAGGGTTAGTGTCGTCCTCTTTTAGCTCAGAGAGTTCTACAGTGAAGCCAGACTCAAGCGAGAGTGGCGGGGCAGGGTGCTGGGGAGGGCCTCTCCAGAATTAAGGAAAACGGAGACGGCAGCCACTCAGGGAGGGAAGGAGCAGACGCACCCTTCCCGTCCCACCCTCTCACCTTGCCCGCCTCAGGCTTTCAGGCCACGCCTCTTCTTCCTCTTGCGCAGGCGCAGATGCTGCTGCCACTAGCGCGCGGGTTCTCCGCTGATTCGTCAGGAGCCGTCGGTAGGCGTCAGTCCCGAAACACTAAGTGTCCGTGCCAGTTCCACGTGAGCTCTGGGAACTCACAGGCGCCCTCGGCGGACACTGAGCTGGGCGGTGGCCTCGGTTCCCTGGCGAATCAGCCGCCCGCGGCCGTGGTTCTAAAGTACGGTGGCCGGAGAAACACCGTAGGAGTGGCTGGTCCAGTCGGGTCTGCCGTGGGGATGGCCTTGCAGGATGGCCAGCTTCCGTGTTAGCCGAGGGTCTCGTGTGTATGGGGCTGGGCGCTCACCTGGAGCTGCAGACTGGCGAGCCACTAGCTCACCCAAGTGCCAGGGAGCTTGACGGAGGAGGCTGCCCCCACCTAACGGGCCCAGTCCGGGACTGAAGCCTTGTCAGATCACCGGGCAGGTGGGAAACCCAGGGAAGGCAGGGATAACGAGAGCAAGATCATGGGGGAGGCGCCGGGAAGCGCAAGAGAGGGCTGGTGGGGTTTCCGAGATTTGGAGCTGAGTACTTGGTGGGTGCCACGGAAGAGTTCTTGACAGTCTAACATGCTTTTCTAGGACGCCCAGCCTTGTCCTGCAAGATGAACCCAGTACTGTCTGCTGTCCGACTCACGGTCCAGGAAGCCATTCACACCCTTTCATCTTCAGAGGATGCTGCCCATATTCTTTCCACTCTGGGGACTCTGAAGCGATACCTTGGTGGAACGGAGGACCCAGCTCTCCCCGAGAAGGAGGAGTTTGCCACCATCCACTTCTCAGTGCTTCTCAGATGTCTGGTCAGCAAACTGAGCCCAGGTTGGCTGGAGCTATCCCCCGACGGCCAGCTGGAGCAGCTTTGGGAGAGCTTCTTCCTGGAAGGCCCCCCAGACCAAGCCTTCCTGGTGCTGATGGAGGCCATCGAGAGCACTGCTGGGTGAGCAGTTTGTGAGCAACAGGGCCCTCAAGTTCTGAGAAAAGACCTAACACCTTAAAACTGAGTGTAGCTGTGCCCAGCTCCGAAAGGGGAAGGACGTTTGTGTCTTTGCCTGGCCTTGCTCCCTCTTGTTGGAGGCTGGGAGGAAGAGCAGGGTCCACACTGCAGACAGCAGGAGCAAACCAGCGGCTCAGAGTCCACGGCTCCCAGTTGAGCCAGAAAGGCCACTGGCTGTCCTTTTCTGGGCCTGCCCTTTTTTTCTATGTCACTCTCGGGACATTTCAGGTTTTAAAAGTGCTAGCTACCATGTTGCTGCCATGGATCCTTAGTTCTAGGTTCCATATCTGATGAAGTGGTGGTCCTTGGGGGTGGGGATCATTGGCTTTGATAAGCTGGGGTTTGTAAACTGTTGTGGTTTGTAACCTGCTGTGGTTGGGGCCGGATAGACGGCTGGAAATTTTCCAGAGGACTTGGGTTCAGTTCCCAGCACCCACATAGCTGCTCACAGCTGAAACTCCCAATTTCAGAAGAACCGATGCCCTCTCCTGGATTCCACAGGCCCTGCACACATGTCACACACACACATACCTGTAGGCAAAACACCCACACATAAAATAAAATCTCAAAAGTGAAAATAGAAAAAGAAATAGAAACTGCCATGATGCAAGCAAAGACAGCGAGAGCAGATGAAGAAGTGTGCAGGGCACAGCGGAACATTGTACTGGTAACTAGTGGAATTAAGTGTTTTCTTTCAGCTGAGTTCAAATGCAAGTGCTTGTAAAGTTGTTGGGACTGATTCTTTTTTGATTGTTTTGTTTATTGGTCTTTTTGAAACAAGGTCTAACCTGTGTTTAACCTCACTGAGATTCTCTGTCCTCTGCTTTCAGAATGCCAGAATTAAAGGCACGCACCACCAAGCCCAGCCTCTGGAACCTTACCAGTTAGGCTAGGCTGTCTAGCCAGGGATTCCCAGGGATCCACCTGTCTCTGTATCCCCAGGTCTAGGTCTTGAAGCAGTTGTCACCTCACCTTGCTTTTTGGTGGGTGGTTGAGACAGAGTTTCTCTGTGTAGCCCTGGCTGTCCAGTAACTCACTCTGTAAACCAGGCTGGCCTTGAATTCATAGATCCACCTGCCTCTACCTCCCAAGTGTGGGACTAAAGGTGTGTGCCACCACTGCCCCGCTCACCTGGCTTTTTTTATGTGGGTTTTGGGGCTCAAATTTAGGTTCTTATGCTTGAAGGGCTTTCTTTACCAACTGAGCCATCTCCCTAGCTCTGGACTGATTCTTTATGGCCAGAAGGGGATACTAGGTGGTGGTGGTCGAGGGGCCACTCAGGGCTCTGCCCAATACACATGCTATTCCTTAGCCCTAGCTTCCGTCTGATGAAGATGGCTCGCCTGCTAGAGACATTTCTGAGCAAGGGCAGAGTGGCTGCTCTCATGGAGGAGCAGTGTCGGCCGCAGACAAAGCCCAGCTTCCCCCTGTTCCAGGAGACGCTGCTCGGCAAAGTGGTGGGCTTGCCCGATCTCCTGGGCAACCGCCTCCAGCGGGACAACCTGACCCAATTCTTCCCCCAGAACTACTTCCCCCTGCTTGGTCGGGAGGTTGTGCAGGCGCTAAAGGCAGTTGTGGACTTTCTCCAAGGTGAGCACCCTGCCTCAGGATCTCTCTTGGCCCTTATCATCTCCCTCCCCTTGAAGTAAAACTCTCAAAGCCTGTGGGGCCTTCAGAGTCAGGCTGGTGCTGTCAGGTCGGTAAGACACTGTTCTCTTTCAGACCCTGTCATGTCACCTGATAGAGTTTCATCTCTCTTCTGGCTTTTGATCTTGGGGAGTTGGCTCCTTTAGTTCTGACCTGCTCTTCCTGCCCAGTCAGTTGTATATCTGAGAAGCCGTCCTTGTTTGCTGAGGTCCACTTCCTTCCTTCCTTGAGCCTGCTCATCTGTGTGTCTTTGGTGGTGGTGGTTTTGAGTGCCCACTAGGGGGGCTGCTGTCGCTCAGGTGATCTCTGTCACCACCCTGTAGGTGTCCAAGGTTAGCTCTGCCTTCTCTGCGACATTACAACTGGCTTTCCGAGGTAATATCTCAAGAGTGAGAATTGGGGAAGGGCCATTATGATTCCTGGGCTGTCAGGTACAGGTCAGTGAGACTTGCTGGCTCGAGCCTGTGCCTCTTCCTGAAGTGTCTCCGCCTTCCTTCTTGTGTCTGTCACGTGCACACTCCACTCTGAGCTGTACTTCAACCGGAGATGCTGTGGCTGCCTTCCCTCAGGTTGCTCCTTGCTAAGTTTTCACTTTGGCTTGTTTTCATGGGTGCGGCCCAGCAGCACCCTGCGCTCCTGTGGCTTTTACCCATGTGACCCCAGAGGAATTTGGTCCTCTGGAGTTTTGACATGGCCCCACCTGGCCTAAGCCGCTGTCTTTCCTAGCTTACAGCAGACTTTCTTGTCTGTTTTTGTTGTTGTTTGTTTGTTTGTTTTGTTTTGTTTTTCAAGACAGGGTTTCTCTGTGTAGTCCTGGCCATCCCGGACTTGCTTTGTAGACCAGGCTGTCCTTAAACTCACATAGATCTGCCTGCCTCTGCGCCCCAGAGCACTGTGATAATAGGTGTGTATCACTGTACCCAGCTGTTTCGTTTTGCTTTTGAGATAGGGTCTCATTGTACTCTTAGTGGAGCTTTGGCTTCTGCCCTTGCAGGCTCTTACGTATCCATCCTTAGGTCACCATGTGTCTGGCCCCATGTCTGTTTTCTGGAAGGTGCCATCATCTCAGCTCTACTAGTGGGAAGCTGCTACCCCATCTCTTCCTTATTCTTGATCTTCTCATGGCTCCTTCTTTACCAAGGAGGGGGACCTTGTAGACAGTGGCTGCTGTGGTGTCTATCCCTGCCTAGAGCCCAGTTCTGTTTCAGTAGTTGGCTCCTAGGCCAGGACCCTCTGGTGCCTCTTCAGTGATGTTCATAGGGTCATTGTGATGATTGAGATGATGTGTGACAGTTTTTGTTTTGTTTTGGAGACAGGGTTTCTCTGTGTAGTCCTGGCCATTCTGGAGCTACTCTATAGACGAGGCTGGCCACGAACTCAGAGATCCACCTGCCTCTGCCTCCCAAGGGTTGGGATGAAAGGCGAGTACCGCCACCACCCATCTTGAGTGTGACATCTTTAAAGCACATTATTGCTGGATTTTCAAGTTAAAAGCAGCTCCACGTAGATTTTTGCATCCTGTTAGATTGATATGCACATTAATTCAACAAGTTTCTGTAGCTGACTTGGCTGCTAAGGGTCACTGTCATCAGTCCAATGTCCTCGGTGTTCGCATGCTGACCTCTTTTACAGTCAGGTCTTGCTTTCTGTTCCAGGTGGCCTAGACTGCTCTGTCTCCTTTGTGTCTCGAGTTCTGGGGAAGGTCTGCATCCAAGGGAGAAAGAGTGAGTAGTCCTGATCACCTCTCCACTCTTAAGAGGAGGAGAGTGAGAATCATTCTACATTTTATACGGTGACGTGTAAGTTGACCCTTGTCTTCAGTGGGGCTCCCTCCCTTGGGTCTGACCCTGGGTCTGCTGATGTTGGCTCGACTCCCCCATGTCTGTGAGTCTGTGGGACTGTGGACACTGGGCACCCCTGTTGGCCCCTGGTTGAGGGCGGCTCCTGAAGCCCAGGGTTTCTGTGCCTCCTCAGAAGAGATTCTGGGTGTGTTGGTGCCCCAGCTGACAGTGCTCACCCAGGACAGCTGTCTGTGGCAGCGGGTGTGCTGGCGCCTGGTGGAACAAGTGCCTGACCGGGCGGTGGAGGCTGTGCTGACAGGACTTGTAGAGGCCACTCCCAGGTAAGCAGCTGGGACCTGTCCTAGCCAGTGTTGCTCTTGGTTGCAGGGTACACTCTGTCCTTGCTGCTGTGTTCCCTGTCTGCTCTCCCAGATGCCATACTAGAGCCCATGTTCTGTGCAGTCTGGGGGGCCCATCCTCTCTTAGCATTGCATTTTCAGGCTGGTCGTACTGTTTGCTTTTCCTTATTCCTTCCCTTTGGGGCCCACTTGTGACTCAGATGCCTTCCACCCCTGCCTCACAGGCCTGAAGTCCTGTCGCGACTACTGGGGAACCTGGTGGTGAAGAATAAGAAAGCACAGTTTGTGATGACCCGGAAGCTTCTTTTCCTGCAATACCAATACACGGTGAGATGCCAGGACATTCTCAGGCACTACAGGCTTTCCAGGTCCCCAGAAGAATTGTTATTAAAAATGGAATGCTGGGCCTGGGCATGGTGCACACGTCTCTGAGCTCAGCGCTCCTAAGGTGGGGCAGCTGAATCTCTGAGGGCTAAGGCCGGCCTGGTCTACATAGTGAGATCTTGTCTCAGAGAAGGGAGTAAGGGGCTAGGCATACTGGTAAACATCTGTAATCCCAGTATTTGGGAGGTGGAGACAGGAATATTAGGAGATCATTGCCATCCCCAGCTATGCAGCAGGCCAGCCTTACCCTGTCTCAATGACCCTAAAAAAAGAAGAGAGAAAAAAAGAAGGGAGATTAAAGAGCAGTGTGTGCTTGGCATGCAAGGGCCTATATTCTATCCTTAGGGGAAAATCAAAACAAGTACAGTTAAGCAGCAGGTGCCTAGGAAATGTCAGCAAAATGGTAGGCTCCTTTGGCCATTTATGAGCTCTGCTCGAATGTGGGAACCAACTGAGCATGTCACATAGCATGTGCTTGAATCATCAGGACTGCAGAGGCTGTGTCTTATACATGACTGCCACTGTCCGTGTGCCTTGAAGTTCTGGCTCAGAGCTGGCCAGTAGTCAAAAGAAGGGGAGAGTGAGGAACAGGAAACAACCAGAGTCAAGAGGACAGAGCCAAGAAACAGAGAGGAGTGGGGCCCGCTACATCCGCCTGTGATTTCATGCCACACTTCTTAGATGCCTTTTGTATGCTGGACTCTATCTTGGGTACTGAGCATCCACTGCGGACAGAACTCTGTCCCTCCTCATGAGTTCATGTTATAGGGAAAGAAGCAGATGTTGCCTGTGTAGGCCAGTCAATACAAAGGGTGACATGGCAGATGCTGACACCCAAGAGGCAGGCATGGCAGGACTGTGACTTGGAGAAAGAGGCTTGGCTCTGACAGGATTTGTCAGAGGCCTCTGAGACCTGGAATACCAGAGAGCTAGTTGGCTGACTGTCCAGGTTGGCCTGAGCTGGTAGCGGGTCCCCCTGGTGGCCAGAGAGCAAGAGGACAGTAGGTAAGGCCAGGCTGGTTGGGTGGACGAGTGAGAATTTGATCAGAGATGAGCTGTTTAGACTCTGGCTCCTGTGTGAAGAGCCAATATCTGAGGAGCCACAGTGAAACTGAAGTAACTCCCACCTGCTTCATGCAGTGACGCTTGGGCAGAAGCCCTGGAGAGCCCTCCCAGTAACCTGCCTTGGCAGCTGGGTAACAGCTGCAGTGTGGTGAGAGATACAGAGATGTAAACAGAGGCAGAGATGGTTCTCCACAGACCCCTGATGAAAGAGCAGACTCTATTCCCGAATCCAATACTCTGTTCCAAGCTGTTAGACCATAAGCCAGTCAACGGGATATGACTTGCCACAAACCAAGAACTTCAAGTGCAGAATAAGCTTCACGAGGTCATTCCTGGATGACAGCTGCAGAGTTAGAGACAGTTGTGAAAGGGGATGACTAATGGTACTAGGGAGATGGCTTAGTTCATACAATTCTTGACATACAAGCAAGGGGCCTGAGTTTAAGCCCCCATAATCTGCATAAAAAGCTGGGTTTGATGGCACATGCCTGTCATCCCAGGACTGAGAGGAGAGGCAGACACAGGTAGATCTGTGGTACTTATTGGCCAGCCTACCTAGCTAAACTGCTGAGTCCCAGGTTCCACTGAGACCCTATCTCCAAGCTGGGAATGGTGGCACATGCTTTTAATCCCAGCACTTGGGGCAGAGGCAGGCAAATCTCTTAGTTTGAGGCCAGCCTGGTGTCCAGAATAGCCAGAGCTACATAGAAAAACCCTGTCTTGAAAAGCCAAAACAAACAAACAAACAAACAAAAAAACCAAACAATAAAACAAAACTCCACCATATCCAAGGCAGCTTTATAAAAGTATTTAATTTGGGCTTATGGTTTCAGAGGGTTAATTCCTTGATGGCAGAGCTAAGGCATAGTAGCAGGAACACCTGAACGCTCACATCTTGATCTGAAAGTAGGAGGCAGAGAGAGGAAGAGGGATACTGGAGATGGAGTCTTTAGAAGGGGGAGGACGGGTTGAGACAGGGTTTCTCTGGGTGGCCTAGCTGTCCTGGACACAGAGACCTGCCTGCCTCTTCCTCCCCGAGTGCTGGTATCACAAGCATGCGCCACAGCGCCCGGCTTAGGGATGGGGTCTTTAGACCCTCAAAACCAGTTCCTGTGACAGTTCTACCAAGTAGTAAAATAAATATATGAGCTTATTGGGGCCATTCTCATTCAAACTACCTCAGCAGTAAGCTTGGCAGGCAGAGGCAGGTGGATCTCTAAGTTCCAGGCCAGCCTGGTCTGCAGGGTGAGTTGTAGGACAGCCAGGGCTATGTAATAGAGAACTTGTCTCAAAAAAAAACAAGTTGGATGGCCCCTAAGGAATGACACCTGTGGCTGACCACATACATACACGCACACGTGTGTATGTGGCTGCACACGTAAGCAGCCTACATACTTCTTCATACCTATATACCTCCACACACATGCATACACATGTGTGCTCCACTCCTCCCAGAACAGTCTTCACCTCCTGATGGCCTTGGTAGGGGCAGGCAGGGAGCAGTCTCTGGTAGACAGGACCCACTTTTGTTGTAGACACCCATGCTGCAGAGCCTGCTGGGGTACTTGGCTGTGGACAGTCAGCGGCGGCCACTCCTTACGCAGGTAAGCACCACTTGTCCTCTCAGCCTGTGGTGGTCCCGGCAGAAGGGCAGTAGAGGGACTGTCTTCTGGTGGGAAGAACAGGTGTCCAGCCTCGCTTATGCTCCAGGCCCTTGGGATAGCTGTGGGCCCTGGCCTGAGACGTGGGTGGCTGTGGTGTAGCTGCTGCCTGACCAGGCTGAGGCTCTGCTATTGGCCAGGTGCTTAAGGAGCTGCTAGAGACGTGGGGCAACAGCAGTGCCATCCGACATGCACCCCTGGAGCAGCAGCGCTACGTCAGCAGGGCCATCCTGGTCTGCCTGGCGCACCTGCGGGAGCCGGAGCTGCAGGACATCCGGGATGGTGAGAGGCTGTGGCAAGGGCACACCCTACCCCCTAATGCTCTGAGGAGCCCTTCAGGGTTTATGTCTGCTGCTTTAAGAATTGCTGGCCAGCATGATGGCAGGTGTGAAGTGCCGCCTGGACAGCAGCCTGCCCGCTGTGCGTCGCTTGGGCATGATTGTGGCCGAGGTCATCAGCTCCAGGATCCACCCTGAGGGGCCTCCCCTGAAATTCCAAGTGAGCAGGCTGTCTTCTGTGTGTCCTCCAGGTGACAGGGCTCGGGATCTCCCTTGCTGATACACCAGTACCTCTAGTACCTCACCTTTCTGGGGCCTAGGATTGAGGAGTCCCCTGTGCTGGGCATGCAGAGGACTGGGGTTCAATGTGTGGGGCCGTTCTAACTAACTCCAGCTCCTGGTGGGTGGTAGCGGGAGTGGGTCTATAAAATTGGTTAGGCCAAGTCTGTGAGCATGTACTCTCCAAGGTGTGTTCCCTGGCTTGGCAGGACAGGAGAGAAGGGGACATTGCCTTGGGCTGGTCTGCGGCTCTAGGCTGGCGGTGTGTGGGGGTGTCAGCCTCTACTGACTGCTTAGTGGTATGGGCACTACCAGGTTGGACATGAGGGGCCTTGACTATGTTGGGTCCTGCATGGCTTCACTGCAAGCCTGTAGACATAGCCTCTGTTGAACTCTCTCTTTGGGTGTGTCAGCAGTCATGGGTCTCCAAATCCTGAAGGAGGAAGTGGCTTCTAGGCTCAGCACGCCTAGCACCATGCTTAGCTTGAGGTAGACATTCAGAAGTTGCTTCAGAAAAGGTGGCTGTCTGAGGCCAGGCTGCTAGATGAGATCAAGTGGCATGAGAGGAGGGCTGGCTTTGGCTAAATGTCAGCAGTGAGGTGTCATCGGCCGCCTGTGGGCATCACTGACTCCAGTGTGTCCGCAATAGTATGAAGATGATGAGATGAGCCGTGAGCTGCTGGCCCTGGCCAACCCCTGGCCTGTGGGTGACTGCTCCTCAGAAGCAGGGTAAGGGTTTCTGCATTCCTGGTCCCTATCCTGAATACCCTTTGACAAAAGTTAGGGAGACATGGGCGGATAACAGAAGCCTCTCTGGGACATGTGGTGTTCAAGGCTCTCCTCGGTGACCCTGCTGCCTCTTGTTTCCTAGAGGCCCATCCCTGGCTCCTGTTGCCACAGAGCCTCCTGTAGAGACACATGAAAAAACTGTGGACAGTGATGCCCCCCCAGCTCAGCTGCAGGGCTCTGACTCAGAGCTGGACAGGTAGGTAGGGCAGGGTTTCTTGGTCTCTATGGGTCCAAAGACTGGCTGAGGGCAGCATTCTATTAACACATCAGGGTACACTGACCACCTGCAGGAAGTGCTGACGTCCCAGGCCTCCCCTCCCCTTCCTGCCAGCCTGAAGTGTGAGTCTGGGTAGTGTCATGCTGCCGCCTTTCTGTGTAGCCGTCTCCCACACTTGGAAGGGAATTTTAGTGTCTTCAGGTCATATCCTTGAGGAATTAAAAATAAACCTAAATCCTCACTGGGATGGACAGATGAAGCATCTCTTTTGTCTTATTACAGTGATGATGAGTTCATCCCCTATGATATGTCAGGGGACAAAGAGCTGAAGAGCCGCAAGGAGCCCCTGTATATCCGAGACTGTGTGGAAGGTGGGCTTTGCTGAGATCAAATCATTGTGCTGCGCCATCATAGCGTCTTTTGAGAGCTACCTGGGCCGGGCCTGCAGCTGCCAGGCCCCATTTTGATACTCTGGGCACACGAGAGTTTGGGTCAGTGCTGAGACTTAACTGAGGTTTGTCTGGGTTCTGTGCAGCCTTGACCATATCTGAGGACATGGAGCGCTGGGAGGCATCCCTAAAGGTGCTTGAGGGCCTGGTGTACAGGAGCCCTGAGGCCACTCGGGAGGTGAGCAGTAAGGGGATGTGTCAGGGTGAGCAGAAATCCTGGGTGGCAGTTTCCTTGTGGCATTTGTATCCTAGGTCTTAGAGGGTAGCATTGTATTGCTGGTTGGGCACATGAGGCTGAAGGCCTGACTCCTGACTGCACAGGTGAGTGTGGAGCTGGCCAAGGTGCTCCTGCACCTAGAAGAGAAGACCTGCGTGGCAGAGTTTGAGCAGCTGCGCCAGAGAGCTCTGGTGGCTGTTACAGTCACAGACCCGGAGCAGGTGAGCCCTAGCATGGAGGCCCTTGCCAGACCAGGAGCATCACAAACCCTGGTAGCCCCATTTTGTGCCCCGGTTGGGCTTCTTGGAGCCTTAGCACAGTGGCTTCTTTGCCTACCCAGGTAGCCAAGTATCTGACCTCACAGTTCTATGGCCTGAACTACAGCCTTCGGCAGCGCATGGACATCCTGGACGTAAGTGACCTAGACCCCTGCCCCCCTGTCAGGTCCTGGCTAACCCTAAGATGGGAAGTTGGCCTATGTGGGCTGTGGTTAAAGGTCACCCCCAGCTTTCTTTGGATGTGACAGGCTGAAGCAGTTATTTCTGCTGACACTGGTTCATCAGTCTGGGGCTGGGAGCTGGTGGCAGAGTACTGTCTTTTGTTTGTGTGCCTTTCAAAAGGTTTTATTTAGTGCGTGTGTGTGTTTGTATGTTCTTACCTTCTGAGTCATCTTGTTGGCCCTGTTTGTGTGTTTTGTAGTCATGTTCATATGCCTGTGTGTCTAGAGTGTGCACATGCTGTTTACAGTGCTGTGGAGGCCGGAAGAGGGTGTTGGATTCCTTGGAGTTCGAGGTACAGGTGATTGAGAGCCTTCCAACACTGTTGCTGAAAACTGAACTCCAGCCCTCTACAAGAGCATTGGGCATCCTTAACCACTAAATCTTACCAGATCTGATGTGAATTTTAGATAACTATTGGTGTATTTTTATACAACATGAACTTTATTATAGGATAAACCAAATGCCATCTCCTATGGTTGCGCATCATTCAGCTGTAAACATCAGGAAATTCTGATACATGCTGCAGCACAGACCAGCCTTAAAACCTTGTGTAAAAGCCAATTGCAAAGAACTGCGTGTGACATGGCTGTATGGTAGTGAACTATCCAGAATGGTGCAATTATAGAGATAGGGCCAAGGGGTGGTCGCCATGGACCCAGGGATTGGGTCACAGTTTTCTTTTAGGTAGATGGAAAGTTCCGGAACAGGATGGTGAGAGTTGCCAACAGTGATACTGTGCCCAATGCAACTGAACTCTTTTTTTTTTTTTTTTTTTTTTTTTTTTCATGAGACAGGTTCTCACTGTGTAGCTCTGGCTGTTCTGGAACTCCCTTTGTGTAGACCAGGCTGGCCTTTAACTCTTTAACAGAGATCCTCCTGCCTGTTTCCTGAATGCTGGGATTAAAGGCGTGTGATAATGCCTGGCAACTACTGAACTCTTAAGAATGGGTACAGGGAAATGTTGAGGAGAAAGTTCAGTCCATAAAGTGCTTGCTGAGCAAACATCGAGGACCTGTTGAGGAACCCAGCACTCATGAAATGCTGCATGTGATGTCATATCCTGTAATCCCAGCACTAGAGTGGCAGAGAGAGGACCCTGTGGCTTGATGGCCAGCAGCTGGATTGGTAAACTCCAGGTTCATTGAGAGACTCTGCCTCAAACTTAAGGTGGAGAGCAATTGAACAAGACACACAACACCACATCAACACTGGCCTTCACATACATGCATCTGCTCTCATACATATGCACAAGGATGGATAAAGTGATGAAATTTACTTGTGTTACTCTGAGAGGCAGAGGCAGGCAGAGCTCTGTGAGTTCGAGGCCAGCCTGGTCTACAAAGTGAGTCCAGGACAGCCAGGACTACACAGAGAAACCCTGTCTCAAAAAAAAAAAAAAGAAAATATTTTTAACCTGTATTTACCACAATAAATAAAACAGGAAACACTTTTTGGTACTGGGAATCGTGCATGCTAGGCAAGCTGTCTTTCTGAACCCTCAGCCCTCTGTAATTGTCTTCTTTTTTTTATTCTCTTTTTTTTTGAGGTAGGGTCTTTGCTATGTAGCCCTGGTTAGCCTTGAACTCAGAGTTACAACCTGCCTCTCCCTCCTAAGTGCTGGGATTAAAGGCATGTACAACTACATCTTTTTCCTCGCAGCCTCTTTTAAGAAAAAATTATGTCTATGAATGTGTGCTTGAATGTATATTTGTAACATGTTTGTGCAGGAGCCCATGAAGGTCAGAAGAGACATTGGATCCTTTTGAACCAGAACCAGAGTCAAAGACAGTTATGAGCTATCTGGGTGTTGGGAACTGAACATGAGTCTTCTACAAGAGCAATAAGTGCTTTGTTTTGTTTTGTTTTTTGAAACAGGGTTTCTCTGTGCAGCCTTGGCTGTCTTAGAACTCACTTTATGGACCAGGTTGGCTCTGAACTCATAGAGATCTGCCTACTTCTGTCTCGAGTGCTAGGATAAAAGGTGTACTCCACCATGCCTGGTGCAATAAGTACTCTTAACAGCTGAGACATCCCTCTGGCTTTCTGGTCCTCTTTTTACCTTTTATTTTGAACCAAGGAATTTCTAAATTGCTGAGTGATCTTTCTGCCTTCACTTCCTGAGTAGCTAGCATTACAGGCTGTGTCATCAGGCCTGGCGAGGAATGTACCATTTTGAGTTGGGTGAGGTGGCTCCAGCTATGCTCTATCATCTAGTTCCAGAATATCACCTTTTGGGCTGGAGAGATGGCTCAGAGGTTAAGAGCACTGGTTGCTCTTCCAGAGGACCTGAGTTCAATTCCCAGCAACCACATGGTGGCTTATAACCATCTATACTGTGATCTCTTGTCCAGAATATCACCATTACTCCAAAAGAAAACCCTATGCTATCACAGTAATGGTCACTTTCCAGCCCCTTCCCTCTACCGTTATGCTCTGTCCAGATTTACCTATGCTGGATGCTTCGTGTAAACAGAACAGGGAGCTGTGTGGCCTTTGTAACAGGCTTCCTTTGCTGGGCAGGATGCTGTTGAAGTTCTTCCCCCAAGTGGAAGTGCAGACTTCATTTTCCCTCCCTTTCTTTTATTCATCTTTCCATGCAAATGAGTTCCTTGGGAGAGGGAACAAGGTCATAGGTGAAACTGGCTGAGTTTTAGGAAAAGTATGGTGCATTGGCCCAGGCATTCATTGTGAGGAAGCGCTCCTCTCACCTCCCTGCCTGTCCCCTACAGGAAGAGCAGATTCAGAATACCTGGATGAGGTTCTGGGGCGCCTAGGACAGGCTGCAGAGCTTTGTGGATACTGGGCTGCTAATCTCGAAGAGCATCCTTCCCCAGAGCCATGTACTCTCCTGAGTCTTTTTTCATCATTCTAGTTTTTATGTGTGTGAGTGTTTTGTCTGCATGTTAGTACACTGTGTGTGTGCAGTGCCTGTGGAAGTGGGAAAAGGGTGTGTGGGGGTTGGGAATCAAGCCTGAGCCCTCAGCAAGGGCAAAGTACTCAGAGCTTCTCTGCCATCTCTCTAGTCCCTCAGTACTGGTTCTCTCTCTAGGTCCTTGTTCTGGCTGCCCAGGCACTGTCTCGGCCAAGAAGCCTCCAGAAGCTTTCCCAGCACAGTTCCCCTGGTACTGGCACCTTGTGTTCACCAACACTAGCTGTTCCTCAGACTGACAGTGCTGTGGCTCCTGACTGGCGGGCGGTTGTGGAGGAGCGGATCAGAAGCAAGACCCAAAGGTTCTCCAAGGTCAGCAGGACTCTATTCAGGTCCATGTAGGCATGGGGTGGCAGTGTAAGCAGTTGGGTTCCACTAGGCCAGTGGTTCTCAGCCTTCAATGCTGCAACCCTTTAATACAGTCCTTATGTTGGGGTGACCCTCACCATGAAATTATTTCATTGCTACTTTCATAACTGTACTTTTTCTATTATTATAAGTAGTAATGAAAATATCTGATATGTAGGATATCTGATGTGCCACACGAAAAGGGTTGCAACTCACAGGTTGAGAACTGCTGTTCTAGGTGTTGTGTGACTGACGGGAACCCAGTCATAGGCAGGGTCAGCTCCAGTGTTGGTACTCCTTCAAGCAGGAGGTCAGGTACAAACTGAGGTGTGTCAGACCAGCATGATTTTAAAACATGGAAGTGAAAATTCAGGCCTCAGGAGTGCTACCTCACAAACAACAACAACAAAATGACCCTGGGACTACAGTATCTGGAGATAGTTTGAGTTGTAGCTCAGGCAAGGACGGTAGGTACTAGGGGCGGGAGACCATGATACCCAGGTTTTCCCACGTGACTATCTCTGCATGGTTGATGAGCAGGGTTGGAGCTCTCTGCTGTCAGAGCACAGTAGCCTGAGAGTCAGTGCCCTCTCCCTAGGGCCTTGAAACCCAGGGAGGCCAGGGCAAGCCTAAGGGGGCTGTACAGCTGCCCTAGATGGTAGCAGCCGTGCATCTTCACTGCTGTGTGTTTGGCAGGGCTGTCCTCGGAAGGAGCTGTCAGGTGGACCCAATGAATTTAACTCTGTGGCTGGTTACTTCTTCTTCCCCCTCCTTCAGCACTTTGACAGGTGAGATTTCCTCTGCGAACAGTAGTTATGATACAGTAGGGTAATAAGTAAGTATGGGCTCGGATTATTTTATAAGCTTGAGTTCAATGATATGGAATATTCTGGAAGGTCCTTTTGCTCTTTGAGTTTTGTGGTGAGGGCATAGTTACTACTGACTCTGTTCTCTGATCTTGGATTTATGAAGGCGCTGGTGCTGCTGCCACCTGGCCTGCTGCTTGCCCTTTGCTCACACCCTCCCATCTTCTCCATCGGAGTCTTGTCCCATGCTCAGCCTGCGAGATTTTGGTGACAGCACAGGGTGTGATCTTGACTCAGGGCCTGTCTTGTGCCTGGCAGCATACAGGATGCTGAGGAGTTTGGATATGCCTTCCCCTTGGGGCTGTCCTTTTGCCATACTGGCTCAGGGGTTGAACGTGAAAGGCTGTGTGAGCCTCCAAGGGTTTGGGTTTCTGTCATAGTCCTCTTTCTGGGTTCTTCTCAGCCAACCATTAGGTGTTGGGGCTGCCCCATTCACTTGGCTCTATGTTGTAGGCCTCTGGTGACCTTCGACCTTTTAGGAGATGATCAGTTGGTACTTGGAAGACTGACCCATGCCTTAGCATCCCTGATGTACCTGGCTGTTAACACCACAGTGAGTTGGGAAATGGGAACTGAAAGCCCTACCACATAGTTCCACAGCAGTGCAATTGTAGGAGTAATCTCCACTGTTCATAGAACAGGACCTGAGCTCTGTATGGCTTGTCCATCCCCCACCTGGGGCCAGTGCTGGATGGTCAAGGCCATAGGCATGAGCCCTGCACCCTCAGAATACATCCCTTTAGCCCCAGGGGGAGTCTGTGCAAAGCTCCATGAAGCATTGCATGCATCCCCTCATAGGCGAGCCCTGACTTAGTGCGATCCTATCTTTGGTACAAGTGTGGGAAATGCACACAGCAAACCCTCTCACCAGCTGTCCTTCCGCTGACCTCCAGGTGGCTGTGCCTATGGGTAAGGCCCTGCTGGAGTTTGTATGGGCCCTCCGCTTCCATGTTGACACGTGAGTGGCCTGTGGGGCCAAGGGCAGCACGGGGTCTTCAAGGGAGCATGCCTAACATGCCTAACATTTCCTAACAAGAAGTGGCCTGTTAGGCCTGAGGGCCTCAGACAGGGTTGGAGTGAGCGTTGTTGCAGGTTGGCCTACTGGATTCAGTGTACATGTGGGAGGTCCTTTTCATAGGCTAATTGGAGGCTCCATTCACAAAACCATACCTTACCTTTCTCCACCCTCTTGATTGGTAGTTATGTGCGCCGGGGCTTGCTGTCTGCTGTGTCCTCTGTCCTTCTCAGTGTACCCACAGAGCGGCTGTTGGGGGACCTGCCAGATGAGCTGCTAGAAGCCAGATCCTGGTTGGCAGGTGAGTGTCTGGGCTGGAACAGTATCTCACCAGGTGTGTGATGCTGCTGTGGTAGACAGGGCTATGTCAGCCAGTCTGAGTGGGTCTGTCCTGTGTTAGCTCTGAGAAATGTGATGTGGGGAACAAGGGGACTACTAAAGGGGTCCCAACAGAGACAGTGCAGATGTGAGTCTCCTCAAAAGGCTCCCATATCCAAAGCCAGACATCATGGTATACGCCTTGGGAAACAGAGGCTGATGGAGCTCTGTGAGTTCAGGGCTAGCCTGCCTGGTCTACGTAGTGAGTACTAGGCCAGCCAGGGTTAAATACTGAGACCTGTTTAAAATCAAATGCAGACAGGTTATGTGGAAGTAGAGTGAATGCTGGAAACTTCCATCTAGAACACTCTGACGTACTCGTCACCGCTCTGCATATTCTTTTATAAAGTTAGTTGCAGACTCTGATTCTTCATCCAGGACCCTGAACTGGACCTTCTGACAGGACCCCATGACTGTCCCAGGACCCACTGGGAAGGACATACCCAGAGCCCAGCTTCTTATGAGGCTTTGTGATTGGCCCTGATACAGCTTCAAACTGTGGCTTCCATAGGTCTCCTGGCCAGGCATGGGTCCCGTGTGTCTTCTATTGCTCTGCTCTTTCTGACGGGTAGTCACAGAAGGTCCTATTCATTATTCCCCAAGTTCTCTGTGCTTCTCAGCCATCCTCGGCAAGGCCAGGTTCTTCTCAGGGTTCTGTGCTAGGGATCCCCAGATTGTCTGCTCAGACTGGTTTTATCCTAGGTCAGTGCTTGGGCTGCTGAACTATGCACCTGGCCTGTCTGGTCCCTCCCATGGAGCTCGAGAGCCTTTGCTGAGTGTCTGCGTTGGGACCTCAGCGAGAAGCCTGGCCAGTGGCTCCTTGAGGAGCAGTGTGAAGGAGATGTGGAACAGCTGGCCCTAGCGTGTTACTCACTTGTTCTTTACTTCTCCCTTGACAGATGTGGCAGAGAAGGATGTGGATCAGGACTGTAGGGAGCTGGCAATGAGGGCTCTGCTGCTTCTGGAGAGACTGCGAGATAAGCTCCTATCCATTTCTTCTCCATAGTCCCGAGGAGTCCCCAAATGGATCCTGGGCCATCCCCAATGCAAGAAGGAAACCTCTGAGAAGCGGAGTCCACACAGCTGGGCTTTCTGTGGTAGCCAGGTCTGCAGGGACCACTTGGGCCCAGTTTGCATGAAGTAGGCTCCTATGAACTGACCCCTGCTGTTATTTATATCTTGGCGAGGCTGAGCTGTCAGCTAAATATTGGGGGATGCCTGTGCTGTGGGAAACAACAGCCTTGGACTGACCAGAATTGGGGCTTGGGAGTGTGGGGCCCAAGAGGTCCCTCCTCCTGAGAACTTTGGGCCAGGGCCACAGAGCGAAGACAAGAGACAGCTACTGGGCCTCCACTGTACTCTCATGGGGGTGCCAGGACAGCAGGCCAGGGGTAGCCTGCTGGGTTCCCAGGGGCTTTCAACACTGTGTTCCAATGAGAATAAACAGGGCTGCAGATGTGGTTCTCACTGGCAAGGACTTCAGTGATCCTCATGAGGGGCTGCAAGAAATTTAGGCATTTGAGAGAACAGACTCTGAGAAAATGAAGTTTATTTGTAGTCCCAAGGAATGTGAGCAGCCATGGATGGTGCCCAGTATTCCAGTCCCTACTTGCTTCTACAAAGGGCACTGTCCTTAGGGCTCAGGCCTGTCCCAGGTGGTCCCTGCTGTGCTTTTAGGAGCACTGGGCTCTGCTGGGAGCTATCAAGTAGCCAAGTCATTTCAGAGTTCTAGAAATTTCTGAGTCTGGTGTTGGGAAAATCATGGGGAAAATGAAACTACATCCCTTTAAAAGAAGTAAACCAAAAACCCACAGGAGCCAGCAAGTGCCCAGAAGCAAGAGTGCTGAAGGAATGCCTTAAAAAAAGACCAGAACTGAGGCAAACCCAGACCTGCACACTCCTGGGCTGCAGTGGCTGGACTTCATGATCCGCTCATGTCACTGTGATTACACATGACAATGCAATAATTAAAAACAACAGCAACAAACAAAAACCAAAAAGAGCTGCCTTTCCGATGACTAACTAGAAAACTCTAGAAGACACTTTCCAGTAGCAGGATCCAGGTCAATTTCAAGACCCTGGGACCTATCAGGAGTCATTTTCTACCTCTTCTATCACCTCTTCATACACCTCCTTGTGGTCCTCCATGCTATTGTGGCGGATCCGTTCGGGCATGATGCGAGATGGTGGGAGTCCCAGGCCCTGGTGCACGGTGTCCACAGTGCGCTGGTCCACGTAGTATGACATGTTGGCTGAAGGAAGTCTTTTCCTCATCTCCTCAAGATACTTATAGGCCTAGAGCAGAAGAAAGAGTGCTTACTTTAGGTCCCAGTAGATTGACTGACTACTAGTTACTTCTTTAGTTCACATGAAAACAGTGGTGCCACACCATTCATTCATGGTAACAAGGTTTCTTAAACATCAGGTCCCAGCTGCCCACTCTCAGGTCCAAGGACAGCACCTTCTCCAGGCAGGAGAAGGGCATCCTAGTATTTGCAAGGCACTGCTGTGTGGGAGGCCATCAGATGTTTCAGGTTCGGAATGGCTAACACTGAACTGTGAATAACATGAGCAGCAATCCCTGAGGGTCCTTTAGCAGCCAAGACACAAGAATTTGCCTTGTGTTCTAGAGCTGCCTTCTCTCTGGGGTCTGCTAGCCCTGACACTTGGTAGAGGAGGGGTGGGTCTCTTCCCGTTCTGGGGCATGTGCTTCATCATCAGTTTCTCTTCCCTCCCCTTCCCCCAGCCTCTCCTCCATACCTTCCCTCTCCCCCAAACCCACCCGCTCTGCCTCCCCTCAGAAAAGAGCAGGTCTCTAGGGACACCAACCAAACATGGCATAAACAGGCTAGACCATCACATCAAGACCAGGCACATACCATCACATCAAGGCTGGCTGAGGCAACTTGGTAGGATTAACAGGGTCCCACACGTTGGCAAAAGAGTCAGGGACAGCCCCACTCCTACTGTTAGGATTCCCACAAGAACACCAGCTACCCAGCCATAACATATGCAGGGTCTGACCTAGGTCCTTAGTTTCTTTTGTTTGTTCAAGTGTCTGATTTAACCTGGTTCACCTGGCCTATGACTCTTGATTGAGTAGTCCCTGATATTAGGCCTTCAAACTGTGGACCCATCAGTGATTTTCCTTTGGGGTTTCTTCTGGCTTTTCACAGGCTGGCCTAGAGAATAAGGGGGCTGAGCAGGACAGGCCCAGCTTCCTGTGGAGCAGTATCTTCATACTCCCTATACCTGCATATACACGTCATCTGCAAGGAGCCTCTCCAAAAGGGGAGGGAAGGAGGACTTAGGTGGCTTCCAGGGCTTACCCCTAGAACATGAGCAAAATTCTTATCTGCTTTAAAAAAGTTTAAACAGAATAATCGTTAGATACTATTTCTAGCTGCATATATATTTATTTTAAAGAGGGTTCAACTGTGTGGCCCTGGCTGCCCTGGAACTCCCTAAGTACACTAGGCTGGCCTAGAACTTGTAGTAATCTTCCTGCCTCTGCCTCCTGAATGCTAGGACTATATACCTGTGCTACATAACTGGCTAGCTCTTAGTATTAAGTATGACAACTTTTAGAATGCATTTATTGGACAGATATAATAGGAAAATGACTATATCTGTAAAGGTCATAAAAAAGAAACATAAGGCTAGATGGTGCTGCTCGCCCAGCTCTGACACCAAACCATAAACCCTATGGCTGGAGCCAAATGAACATGGGCCCAAAGGGTCGGGAAAATGATGCCCTAGGCATTGAGAAGTTGCCTATCTGTGCTGGTGGGCATATGAGACATGAATTCAAAGGATATGCTGAGGACACAGCCAAGGACTGCAGAAGCTTAAGAGCTGAAGTCTCAGCAGCAGCAGAATTAAAGGAAGAAGGAACGCTAGGAAGAAAAGTAAAGAACAGATGAGGTGTGTGGGGGGGGTGAGGCAAGGGAGTGTCTATCTTGACACAGCTGGGCCAGTCTGGAAGATGCCAAGTCAGACTTAGGAATAAAATGGCCAAATTTGATATGACAAGTTTGCATGGGCTCAACATCAGAGTAGTTCTTAAGAGAAGGAAAAACTGAACAGCAACAATAACAGCTAAAAAGGAAGCAGATTTTGGCCACAACTCTTGAGTCCAGGGACAAGATATACAAGCAATTGGAATTCTGGAAGGAAAGAAAAGAAACAAATCATGTCTGTTACAGGAAATGTAGTTAGAAGATGAAAGAACCACATGGATGATGGAAACGTCTGGAACACTTTATAAAAGACAAGTATATGACATGCTCAGCACCAGCACTATGAGCTAGCTGACTCATCTGGTACACTGTACAGCCATAGGGGACTAACAATGAAAAATGGTCACACAGGGGCTGGCAAAGAGCTAGTCACTTTTACATAGGGCACTGTCATTACTCATTTGTAAAATGAAAGCTGGCTGGCATGTAGCTCAGTTGGTAGAGTAGGGTGCCCAGCACAGAGGAGCACCGCGGCCAGTTTCCAGTGCTGCACACACAGCATGGTGGCCATACCTGTCATCTCAGCACTAGGTGAGGAGAGGTAGGAAGATGAGGAGAGTTACACAGTTCGAGGCCAGCCTGGACTACCCAAGACCCTATCTTACCAACAGCAAAACTTTTAAAGACATGGGTCTAGTACGCACTTTCTGAAGGATGAACAATGTGAATGTGCTGGTTCATTGTGTCAGCTTAACACAAGGTAGGGTCATCGTGGAAGAGAACCTCAACCGAGAAAATGCCCCACAACATTAGTTTGTAGGCAAGTCTGTGGGCATTTCCTTTTCAAAGCTGGGTTTGGTGGTGCACGCCTTTAATCCTAGCACTCGGGAGGAAGAGTTAGGCGGATCTCTGTGAGTTCAAAGCCAGCCTGGTCTACAAAGCAAGTTCCAGGAAAGATAGGACAGTTATACAAAGAAACCTTGTCTCAAAACAAACAAAACAACAACAAAAAACCAAAACCAAACAAATTTTGTTTCCCCAAGATTTATATGTACTTTGCCTGCACATATGCATGTATATCACACGTGTGCCCAGTACACAGACAGATGTTGGATTCCCTGGAATTGGAGTTACATACAGATAGTAATGAGCCACCACGGGGGTCATGGGAATTGAGCAGAGTCCACTGCAAAAGCAAGCTAAACCTCTGAACTCTCTCTAGCTCTGAATTTTCTTGATTAATAATGGCTGACATAGGAGGGCTCAGCCCATTGGATGGTAGTGCCACCCCAGGGGGAGGTGGTCTTGGGTGGTCTAAGAAAGCAAGCTATGGGGCTGGAGAGATGGCTCAGCGGTTAAGAACACTGTATATTCTTCCAGAGGTCCTGAGTTCAATTCTCAGCAACCACATTGTGGCTCGCAATCATCTATACTTCAATCTGATGCCCTCTTCTGGCATGAAGGTGTACATGCATACAGAGCACTCATATGTAAAATAAATAAATCTTTAAGAAAAGCAAGCAAGCGCTCTTCCAGTCCCAGACGCTATGGGAGCCGCGGGTTACTGTGCAAACATGGCCAAGTCCAAGAACCACACCATACACAACCAGTCCCGCAAATGGCACAGAAATGCCATCAAGAAACCCTGGTCACAAAGATAGAAATCTCTATAGGGGGTAGACCCCAAGGTCTTGAGGAATATGCACTTTGCCAAGAAGCACAACAAGAAAGGCCTGAAGATGTAGGCAAACAACTCAAAGACAATGAGTGCGTGAGCAGAGGCCACCAAAGCCCTTGTGAAACCTGCAGCTGTTAAACCCAAGATGCCAAAGGGCTCCAGCCGCAAACTCAGCCGTCTGGCTTTCATCGCTCACCCCAAGCTTAGAAAGCAGATTCGAAGCTACACGGCCAAGGGTTGTAGGCTCTGCCAACCAAAGCCCAAGGTTCAAACCAAGGCAGAGGCCTCAGCTCAAGCTCCCAAAGGTGCCCAGGTCCCTGTGAAGGCCCTGTAGGAAAGGTTTCCGCTAATGTGAAGACAGACTTGTGTGACACACCTACCTATACACTATTTACAGATGACCAGTGTCCTATGCTGTTTTTACAAATAAACCTGAGGCAAGATCTGTTAAAAAAAAAAAAAAAAAAAGCAAGCATGCAAGCTAGCTAGCTATGGGGAACAAGCCAATAAGCAGTGGCATTTGCTTTCCCAGGTTCCGGCCCTCACTTCCCCACAGTGATGGACTATAACCTAGGAATTGTACAGAGATAAACCCTTTCTGTCTTAAGTTGCTTTTGGTCATGGTGTTTATCAAAGCGATAGAAAGCAAACTAGAACAGTTAGCCTGTCACTTCAAAGGAAAGAGTAAACATATTTGCCAACAACCAGGCCTGTGCTCTGGAGCACTAGGACCGGTGGTAAGCAGGGTGGCCTTACCATTTGGTATTCCTCCATCTGTACGTGGTGTTCCACCAGGAAGCCATAGACGTCTCCGACACGGATGGTGCTGTCCAGGTCTGGCTCTTCTAGTAGCAGCTCACACTGCCTGATGGACTCTTTGGGGTCCTCTGTGTATGTCCTAACAAGGTGGTAGAGAATGCCTGAGCCTGACCCACAGCACTCATTTATGCCAGAAGCTGGCATAGGTGCCCGTCCTGTAGGAGCAGCTTTATGGAATGGTCTCATGGCATCTGTGTGTATGCATGTAAAGTGGATTTCCATAAATTATGTTAATTTGTTCATTCATAAATCCATTCACCTAACATACACTTATCATCTTCCATGCTGGGTCCTGTGCTTTGACACACGGAGATCTGAACAGCAGTTCCTAGCAGGCACCTGGCCCTCTCCAACCCCTGACTCCTACAGGGCTGCTCAGCATGTCCCTCACACCCTCTCCTGTGTTCATTTGCTCTGCTTGTGGCTGACGACCACTTCCTAGTGTTCCTCTTCCACCTCCTACATGTCAGGCTGGGCAGACCATCAGACGTAGTCTCCACTCCACCTGGCCCCGTGTATGCTGCCTTTCTAAGAAGAACCCACTGTGTATGTGTTTCAAATGTGTTTGAAACGCAGATTTCTCAGACAAGAAAAGCACTTCTGTGCTTGGGCAGAAGCTGAGCTCAAAGATGCTAACTCATCTCACACTGACCATATATATAGGGGCTCTTTAAAAATCTGAATTATCTGAAAAGAAGCAGGAGTATCACATAAAATGTATATTCCTGACCCTTAATTGAAAAAGGAGACAATGTGTCACCACCCAGGCCTCCTCCGCACATGCCAAGAGGTAAATACTGTGATCCCAGAGTCTTGGCTACAGTCTGCTGCGCAGTGAATCCCTCACCTGGGAAAACCCTGCTTGGCCCCTGGAGTGGTCTCAAAGAGAATGGCCCCCAGGTTCATATATTTGAATTTTTGTTTTTCATTGGTGGCACTGTTTTGGGAAGGATTAGGAGATGTGGCCTGGTTGGAGGTTGAGGTTTTGAAAGTCCACACCAGGCCCAGTCTCTCTGCCTACAACTTACAGATAAGATGTAAGCTCTGAGCTCCTGCTCCAGCACTATGCCTGTCTGCCTGCTACCATGTTCCCTGCTCTGATGACCATGGACTAAGTCTGAAGCCGTAAGCAAGCCCCCAGTTAAATTCTTTCTTTTATAAGTTGCCTTGGTCATGGTGTCTCTTCACAGCAATATAAAAATAGCTAAGATAGCCCCTGACCAGGTCTAAGGCTCCCCTTAGACATAACTATTGATTCAAGCTCACTCCTCCTGGCTCAATCTTGTTCTTAGTTTCAGTGGTATAAAGATTCTGAGGGAGTTTCAGAGAGAGAGGCTCAGATATAATAGGCTGCAGTGATTCCTACCTAGCTGTTCAAGAATCATTTGAGGAATATCTGTTAGAAACATATCTTAAAGTCAGCCTGAACTCATCTGAAGGAGAGTAGAGAATCTTGGAGTGCAAAGAGAGGGCCTGGAGGACATACAAAGGTTCCCCCAGGCTAGCCTGGCATTATCCTCCTGACCTGTTCCTCTAGGGGACATACCTTCGGGCTTGGATGAACCTCTTCACTAGTGTCATCTTGCTCTGTAGCTGGGCTAGCTTGGTCTCCTGGTCCAGGGGGCTCTTGGCCTTGGCTTTGGACAGGCACTTATAGGCCTCAGTGAGTGCCCCGTGGGCCTTGTCATAGTTCTGGTATTCATCAATTTCCACCTGTACCGAAGAGAACCATGAGGACCTAAAGGCCTCTGATGGGCCCCTTAAATTGTTCTAGAACCTTAAAGAAGGTCTGTACCTGGGCACAGGCATCATAGAAGCCAGCCAGGAGGTCTAAGGCCCGCCCTTTTGTGTAGAAGCTGATGATATTCTTCATGATCTCTGGTTCCTTCCTCCAGTCCAAGGACTGTAGGTAATTGGCAGCCATGATGTAGATTTCCTTCTGTCTTGAGACCCCCGCAAAGAACACAATTTTTTCTGTGTCTCCAGATTTGAGCAGTGCTCTCATGGCCTAGGCAGAGAAAGGGCCAGGAAGGGCTTAGCTGAGCAAGTTAGGTTTTGAAAAACTCCAGGACCATGCAGTTCCAGTGTGCTAATGGGACCCAATGCTGTGAGTTTCTCTCTTAAGAAGCACCACTTCAAGAGCCCTTATGGGTCACACTCTCCAGTCCTTCAACATCCTAGCTAGGAAGGCCGCTCCCTGCTCAGGCTACTCAGAGATAGGTGGTGCCCAAATGCCCAACACATGGCCCAGCTGAGATATACTGGCCCAGACAGACTCACCTTCAGCTTGTTCCCAGCCTGCGTGTACTTCTTAGTGGCCAGGTGATAGTTGCCCTGGCGCATGCAGCAGTTGGCAATCTGCTCTAGCAGCTCACGCCGAGACTCCTCAGACAGGTCCTTTGAGTCCTTGGACACAGTCATCTTCTCTGCCATCTCCTCGGTGATGGTCATGTTCTGTTCTAGGCATAGCTGCAGAGCCTCATGATACTGCAAGGGTGCAGAGAGACAAAGCAGGGCTGTGACTGAGCGGTGGAGGGCCCGGATTTCCCTTCACATTTGCCATCCCTTCAGAGGAAGCAAGGCCCCAACTCCATGCCTATGGCTAAGTTGGACATAAAAAGGACCAAGCCAAGGGACAGACTCTGACATGTTACTTTCCCTCATCCAGATCTCAGAAGAATAACAGATTTGCTGTGTGTGTGTGTGTGGGAACAACAACGTTTATGTTTTCGTTAAAAAATACTTCAAAGTCAGGTGTGGTGGTGCATCCTAAAACTTGCGAGTGTGAGGCAGGAATGAGAGTTTGAGGCCAGCTTGAGCTACATGGTGAGTTCAAGGCCATGTCTTTAGGTTACGGAGATAGTATCTCAAAAACAACAATGACGACCGACACCCCTAGCCTGCGCTGGGCATGGTGTCTCGTGTGCATGTGTGTGTGTTTCTAGCTACTTCTAGCAGAAGGATCACTTGAGCGGAAGATTTTGAAGCCAGCTAGAGAGACCCTGTCTAGAAAACAAAACAAGTGCCCCAAACACAGGAATTTTATGTTCTATGCGCTTCATCACTTGCACATGTACATGCACGCACGCATGCACAGAACTGACTGCCTGGTTAGAGCTGAAGACGTGGGGTGGATGGTAAGGCTGCCCTCATAGCAGCAGTGTTGATATACTGGGTGAACTTCTAGGATCCCCCTTGACTTCCAGCCCAAGTTGCAGCCGGAGCATTCTTGAGACTTTATAGCCAAAGAGAGGTAGCACAACTGTTTTCCACCCGAAGCTTCCACCATCCATGTACCTTCTTGGCAGCCAGCAGAAGCTCCACAGCCTTCTCAAACTGCCTGTGTTCAATGCAGAAGTCTGAGCAGCGGGCCAAGAGAGCAGGATCTGATTTCTCATCCAGGTCCTCTGCTATGAGTTGTAGGGCTGCAAACTGCTGGGTGGTGAAGGCCAACTCCAGGGCCTTGGAAAAGTGTCCTGCCTATGGGCAATGGTGGAAACTTAGTCACTGCTTGAAGTCCCAAGAATTCACCCTGCCAGGTTTCCTGGAGCTTCAGGAAGGTAGGTGTCTCTAGTCTCTGCAGGTCCCCAATTGAGGCCAAACACTCACCTTGTGATATAGCATGACAGCCCTGTCCATCTGCTCGCCCTTCTCCTCATAATAACGGGCTGCCTCGATCATGTCCTCTGGGGAGCTCAGCAGGGCCAAGTTCATGAGTTGGTCATCTAAGCCGTTCTCCTGCAGAAAGGAAGGTGTGGCTCTGCAGGCAGTTCTGTCTGGCATCCCCAAACCCACTTAGATCAGTGAATGTGGCTGTGTGGGATCCTTCAGTTTGGTATCACCAGTGGATCTGTGCCAGACAGGGTTTCTCTATGTAGCCCTGGCTGTCCTGGACTCACTCTGTAGTCTAGGCTGGCCTCAAACTCACGGAGATCTGCCTGCCTCTGCCTCCCCAAATGCTGGGATTACAGGCATGTGCCACCGCTCCCAGCTTGCCAGTTCATTTTTCAACTTGCACCAGGCCTTACTATGCCAGTCTGTGCGCTAGGGCTTTCTGATGCTTCTTTGTTCTATTTCAGAGTGCTGCAAGAGGGGTAACTCCAGAAACAAAACTGGTTCAGGGGCACTAGATATGAGTTAGCAGGGGAAGTTGTCAGGGGAAGCAGGGAATGGAGGAGGGCAAGAAGAGCCAGGAGTGAGGATGGAGACCAGCAGAGGGTGTGCATGTTCACAACGCAGGCTCTCAACCCTTGTACGTGAACTACTCTTAGTAAAACTTTAAAAACAGCAACGGTGTGGGGAGAGAAGGAGCCCTGTGAGAATATGTACCACTGGGCATGGCCATCATTGGGAACCCAATGCCTCAGACCCACAGAAATGGCAGGCTGGGTCAGGCTCAAGGGAACTGGCAAAGCCTTTCCCTGGTCTGTGTAATGATGTTGACAGTGTGGTTAGAAAGTGTTGGTTGCCATCAAGGGGTGGTGGCACACACCTTTAGTCCTAGCACTTGGAGGCAGAGGCAGACACATCTCTGTGAGTTCGAGGTCAGCCTGGTCTACAGAGTGAGTTTTGGGACAGCCAGGGCTACACAGAAAAACCATGTCTCAACCCCTTCTTCCCCGCCAAGAGGAAGTATTGGTTTCAGCTTCCTGCCCCAACCCACAGATGTTTACAGCCTGAGGCTGCTTACCTACACAGACCTCTTAACAAGTCCAGCTAACCCCTCCTCTCGTGCTGTGCATAACAAACACAATGAGTGTCTGGGTTGCTAGTAGGTGCTCTCCATTAGAGAGCACAGCTCACCCAGACCCAGCTTTGTCTCTGTCATTTCTCTGCTTTGTTGTCTCCCCAGTCAGGTTTCCAGGACAAGTCGGCGCAGGGTGTGGCACGACAGAGCATCATTTACCGAGTGCCCGGGAGAAGCACGTACCTTGCACAGACGGATGGCATTGTTGAAAGCCTGTGCCCGCGTGTAGAAGTGCACTGCCTGTTTCACCTCATCCTGGCTCTCGTACTGCCGGGCAAGGTGGTAGGAGGCAGCCCAGTCTCCAGTCTCATTGGCTATTTCAGCTGCCTAGAAGGACCCAGAACACTGAGGTCTTACCTCTACCCTGCAGCCTCACTCCACCCAAACAGGCCCACTCCCACAGGATGTGCTAACACAGTTTAAAAATATTTTATTTTTGTGCGTATGTGTTTGAGAATATGAATGCAGGGCCTATGGAGGCCAGAAGGAGGCACCATATCCCCTGGACTGGAGTTCACCAGTGGTTTTGAATTGCCCCACATGGGTGCTGGGAACTCAACTCTGGTCCTCTACAAAAGCACTCTTAACTGCTTTTCTTTTTAAAATTAAAACTGTAGCATGCCAGGCAAGTGCTCTATCTCCCCACCTGCTCTCACCTTCTGAATGTTGCCCTGGAAGCAATGGATGCGGACCAGGGAGAAGTAGTCCTGTGCCAGCTCATAGTAGCGCAATGCAGTGTCCATCTCTGCCTGGCTCTCGAGGTACTGGGCCCACCACCTCCATAGGGTCCTGTGTGATAACCCTTGAAGCTCAGGGTCTCACTCCCACTGCAGCTGACACCCTACACCACCACAGCCCACAGGAGATGCATGGAACTGGAAGGGACGGGCCTGGAGTCTCTCTTTTCCAGGACCAGTACTTGGACCAGGTGGATGTTCCCCACTCTGATGTGGAACAACCCCTCCCACCCCCACCAGACCTCATGGTGAGGCTGCACAATGGGGACGTGATGTCCTGCTAGGATACTTACTTGTCCTTCATCCTGTTGATGTAGAGCTCCAGTGACTGCAGGTCTTCTGAGAGCATCCTGGGTACCTCAAAACGGTGGGTGTCTGACTTCTCATAGCTGTGGAGGAAGGAGCTATTCTATTTTGCTTCATGATCAGGGGCTACAGCATAGAGTGCCAGTAGCAGCCTGAGAGCACTACACCTGGCCTGAGCCCTGGGGTCTGTACACTGCTGTATGTTTTGTGTTATATGGGCCACAGTGTTAGCCACACCTCAGAGATCATGCAAACTCTAGATCATGGACATGACTGTGAGCCCAGCTCACCCCAGCTTTGGAACGGGGTTCCCTGTGGTTGTGTCCCTGGGGCACATTTTTCCTCAGGGGTCCCCGAGCCTGGTATGTAGCACACTGACTGACACACAGAGGGCCAAACATTCCCCCCTACTACCACAGCACCCAGACTCCTGGGTGGTGCCTGTGGAGGGCCACATGGGTGGTCCTGAGGCAGATCTTCCTTTGAGCACTGCCAGGGCCACCTAACTAAGGCAGCAACAGCCAGGACCCATCCCTGCCCAAGTCCCACTCACTAACTAAGGGCCATCCCACAGTCAGCGCTGGCCTCCAGGTGCTTGGCATAGTTGTAGTAGGTGGTGCGCAGGTGGACTCGGTCGTGGAGCTCTGCCACCTCCACAGCCTTCTGCCACTGATCCGAGGCCTGGTAGAACTTGTTCAGGAGGTCGTAGCGCTTGCACTTCTTGTAGAGTTGTTCAGCCTCCTCCTGGGGTCGAAGAGAGATGACTCATCAGTCACAGTGCGGCTGTTTTAGAAAAGACCATTCTAGAAGGATGATGGTCACAAGGGGCTGATAGTGGGTGAAGTTCATGTCCTAGAATAGTTCGATAGCCACTCCCACAAGCTCATGACAAAGATGCACAGCATGCTTTGAGAACACACACTTGAGACACACATGGACACCATGTGTAGTCAAGAAAGGCAACACAGCCAAGTGACATTCCAGTCGCCTGTTAGAGACCTGTGCATTGCCAAGGGAATGTCCACCCTTGCTATAGCCCCACTGGCCTTGGTGGGGTCCTGCAGAAATCCTGCGCTCCCCTATGAATAAGGAAGCCCTCTGGGGTGCTCCTGCCATGCAGCATATGTGTAGGTAGAATGCCTGTCCACACAACTCCCTGCTCAGAGATCTGTCCCTTGTACCCACCTGCACACTGAATCAAGGCTGCAGCCTCTGACCATGGGAAGCATGTCAGCCATCTTTCCTCTGGGAAAGCAAGTATGCAGTGAACTGAGACTGAAAGAGGGAGGAGGTAGCCCAGCAGAGACCAGACAGATTAGGAAACTGACCAATGGTTTAGGCTATTTTGAGGGACTTCTGGATTGTAGCTAGATGGCTAGTTGACAGGAACGCCCTCTGTCTCCCTTTTGCCTGTCCATCTGCCAGCTTCCCTGCCCCATCTCCTTGGCCCTATTACTAGACTCTAGCTGAGGAGGGTTCTCTACTTAGCCACTTCTGCTCTTTTCCTTGCAGGCTCAACTTGGCAATTCAGCAGGAGTGGACACCTTCTTCTCTGTTGCCGGGTGATGTCTGTCAGTCTGAGGGTGGGATTACTCACCAGCATGCCCAGCTGTATGGCCAGCATGGCCACTCTGGCTTCCAGTTCTGGCTCCCGCTCAGCTTCCCGCAAAGCTCGGGCCCCACGCGCATGGCCCATGTTCCCTAGGCACACCTTGGCGACATCCAGCCTTTGAGTCTTCACACACATGCGTGCCATGTTCTCCCAGACAGTCTCGCTGTGGGCAGAGAATAGGAGGGCTTTCAGCATCAGCCCAGAGCTTAGGGTGCCCACTAGTCCCTTCTCGGCATCTGACAGAGCAGGGAGCCCTGTGTGGAACTTTGTATGGCCTTCACAGTCAGACTGAAGACTAGGCACCACATGCCCATCACTCAAGAGGACGGAGGGAGACAGAGGTATCCTGAGTCCCCCCCCCCCCCCCCGGCATGTCTTACATAGTGTCCCTGATCGTGAAGGCCTGTGGGGGTGACAAAGGGGACAGATGGTTTTCTGTAACTACCCTTGTGTTATTCTGTCTACTCAGCAGACAATGCTTTTCCTATTTGTGAGCACACATCAAGTCAGGACAAAGACAGAACCTCTTGCTTACAACTGAGCAGGGGACTCCATGGAGTTTTCCTAAACTACTCCCAATTGTTAGGGACCCTACAGGAAGAAAGGGCCAAGACAACCTTACCTCACCTCTCCCAAACAGTCAGAAGTTAGTGTTTGGGAAGGTGGGATGAAGGGAGTCTACAAACCTAACTCAATCTAGGGGCCTGGCGCAGTGTGGCTGGACAGTGGACCCTTCCTTGTCCCTCATTTTGAGGTATTCCACTGTGAGCCTGGATCTCCCAGAGAGCCCCTGCCTCAGATACAGAAGCCTTTTGTAAACATACAGTTTGGAACAAATTCTAAACAGAGGATGAAAACGGAAACCATTTTACTCTGCTCACAGTGCCCCTCTGCTTAAGCTAACTTGGAGCAGGTTTTTCTTATTCTAAGACCACAGCGGTGTTAGCACTCGCAGGCATGCGCACACACCTATGCTTAGTCAACTTCTCTTGCCCCTCCCAACACAGACATGCTCAGACACACACACACACACACACACAGAGAGAGAGAGAGAGAGAGAGAGAGAGAGAGAGAGAGAGAGAAACATGAAGAACAGCCGTGAGGCCTCAGTATGTGCTGACAAGAGCAGCCATATAGAGGCATTTGGCCCTCCCATCACATTCCAGTAGCTCCTCCCTCCTCCCCAGATAAAGCCTGGCCAGATCGGCAGCCTCCTTCCAGGAAATGGGGCAGGTCTGTCCTTTCCCATCCACACAGATGTGGCAGAACTAAGGAACTTGGAGGGCCGCTGCCCACACAAGGCTGGCTGCTGTTCTGGTGAGTGGGGCCTGTAGTACAACTTTCCTCAACATTTTCCTAATGACCTGCCCAGGAAGAAGGAAGGAAGAGGGTTCTCCATCTGTTGGGCCAAGTTGTGCCATGGGCACCTAGATGTTGCCTGGTTTGAAGAGAAGTGGAGGGAAAGCACCAAGCGGTTCAGCTCAGGCACTGGCTGGAGGGGGTGGGGCCACTAGTGTTTAGGTGTCTGCGGCTGAAATTTGACCCATCGAGGTGTCCTTTCCTTCAAGCCAGCATGTTCTGTCCACAGGTTATTTTGACCATGTCTGAGTCTTGCTAGAACTCTGACTCCATAGATAACTATATCAGGTAACCGGAGGGCAAGTATGTATACATTTTAGCAGTGACACACCTGCTGGCTACCGCTTGTAGGGGCTCAGGCCTGACTGGAGTTACATGATGGGAACATGGAGTCAAGGTGCTGTGCTAGGAGAGAGGAGAGCATGTATGCCTAAATCACAGCCCAAACCCAGCAAGCTCCTCACTCCCCTCCCCCACTACAGGCTCCTCAACCTCATCCTTCCACAGCCTCTCTTGGGGCTTCTCATACTCTGGTCTGCAATTTCCAGGACATACAAGAGCTGTAACAATGAAGCTTAGGACCTCTAAGAGGGGCCAGTCACGGGTAACACATTGTTGAATTACCTTTCCAACATGTGGACTCACTGTCCTCACTGGCTTTGGAATTCAAATGACTCATGGTGACTGTGAGGCAGCTATGTGGCAAGAACCTCCTCAGTACCACACAACCCCAGCCAGGGCAGCATCCCACAGGGACAGCTATGACCAGATAACATGTCAGTGTTAGAGGCTGATATCGGGGCCTCAAGCTGTAAGGCCTACTCTTTAAATGTAAACTCCCCACAGGGAGTTCTGGGCCTCACATCCGATCTTGTGGGATACTGACCAACCCCGTGGCCTCTGCTGGTCCTAGAAATGTCATCCAGTGGTAAATCTGAAATCCCGAAGGAAATGCTTGGTTCTCCCAGCACAGTCCAGTGAGCTATGCAGAACTTTCAGAACAGACAGGGCCTGCCAGTGCCCTCCTGAGTGTGTGAGGCATGGGCAGCTATGTCTACAGCAAGTTGGTAGTTATATATGAGACCCTTAAAAAAAAAATCCTGAGCTGCTGCTGGTGGTGGTGGTGGCAGTGCACACCTTTAATCCCAGCACTCGGGCAGGTGGATCTCGGTGAGTTTCAGGCCAGCGTGGTCTACAGAGGGAGTTCTAGGACAGCCAGGCTGTTACACAGAGAAACTCTGTCTCAAAACAAACAAAAAAGCAAAAGAAAAAATCCTGTTCCTAGTTTATGTTCGTAGCTTACATTCTTAAAAAAGCCATACATAGTGATATACTCCTTTGAACCCAGTACTCAGGAGGCAGAGGGAGTTTGAGTTTGAGGCCAGCCTGGTCTACACAGTGAGGTTACATGGTGTGACCCTGTCTCAAGAAAATGAACCCAAAAGCTGGGTGTGTGGTGGCTCACACCTGTAATCACAACACTAGGGGAGGCCTAGGCAGGCAGATTGCAGTGAGTTCGAGGCCAGCCTGGTCTACAAAGCGAGTCCAGGACAGCCAAGGCTACACAGAGAAACCCTGTCTCAAAAACAAACAAACTAAAGAAAAAAAAGAAAAGGAAAAGAAACCAAAACAATAGTTTGCCCTCACTGCCTCCAAAGGTCTGTGTTTGGGGCTAGATGGAGGGGGGGAGCATGGCCTTTTGGCTGCCTCTACTTCCCTGGATAGCCCCTCTTCTTCTGCATTGTCTAGAAAGCAATGTTTGAATCCAGATCCAGTTTTGAGAAAATAATCTATATGAGTGTAGTCACTGGCCTACAGACAAAGCTGGCTGGTGTATGCCATGGATTTTCTTTTCACAATGGGAGGGCATACTTGAGGCTAGTGTCTGGCCCTTTTTGCTGAGTGGGAGACCACAGCTGGAGACTGGTATTGGTGTTGCTGGGCCTCTATGTGACATAGATCTCCTCACATCACTGAAGTGCCCTCTGTTTAAGCTGCTGCCTGAGAATGAACCGAGCAGGGACTCTGAAGAGCTTGTGCTGGAGGCACAGCCCCAGCCAGGCAGGGAGATTCTGGGAGGAGGCCCCTTTAAGGCTGATCTTGCTGGGCTGAGGTTGCTGTGTACCACACATGGGGAGGGCCAGGCCGCAGCTGCTGCAAGAGTCTGGGCAAAAGAAATGGCCAGGAGCCTTCTCAATAAATGCACACTGTACTCTGTGGCTGCGCCTGGCCCAGGACCATCTCAACTCCCACGAGATTCCTGAAATTCTCTGCACACAACTCTGACAACTTCACTCTCCAAGGACTGGACAGCTCCAACTCCAGTGTTAAGAGTTCTGGGATTTGTGCATCTGGCATAAATTCTAAGAAGTAAACACCCTCCCAGCCCTGTCCAGGTCTTGAGAATTTCCTGTTGTCTGCATTACTCTGTGGAAGGGATCACATCTGCACTTCATCAGCTTACAGGCGCCTGGATGAGAAGCAGATGTGGTCGCAGAGGGAGCAGGCTCTGCTGTGGGCCTAGTCTCTGGGAGACCTAAGCTCTGCAGGACCTGTCCTGAGTGAGCAACTGGGGAACCAGCAGGACGACCTACACTTGTGAGTTCCTCCTGCTTTAGAACTTACCCCACAGAGAGGCTGGGTCCAGAGACCCAGGATGAAGAGTAACTTTCCTTCAGGCCCAGGCCAAGGAGAACGGAAAATAAAAATAAGCCATATTGACACTGGCTACAAACTTCTGGGGGAAAAATCGTAAAAGCCCTCAGAGAGTTTACAGACATTCTCAGAATTGATGGAAAGCTGGATGGAGACAGAGTTTTCGCCTTCTGGGAATGTACACATATGGTGTGCCAGGAGCATGACCATATCCACGCACATGTGATTGAAGACTAGAAGTAGGGGGTAGCCTCTCCTGTCAGTGTATGAAGACAGCAAAGGCAACACTGCGACCTCCCAGGACACTGGTCAGCACCAGACTGTGTCTACACACTGTCCTGGTTCATGTGCTTGAGATAGTTTAGACGGCCAGTAGCACCCACATTCTTGTTCATTTATGCAACTCTGGAACCCCAGTGGGTAGAGCCCTGTTATAAGAGGATCGGGTCGCTGGAGGTGGGGCACAGAGTTTCAGACCTGGTTGTTCTTATCCACCAGAGCTGAAGGGATATAAGGAGAGAAAATGATAGTACAGCCACCCTGCCTGGCCTCAGGGGAATGACTGCCATGTTAGGAAGCAAACCTGGCTCGGGAAGCACATTAGCTATCCCCGCCTACACAGTGCCACAAGCACCCTCCCAGAATTCCACCACAAGAACAGTCCCAGCCAGAGGTTCCTCAAGTAGGGCCCCTTCCCTATCAGGTCTGAGCACACTTGCTCCCTTGAGGTGTATGAGTCTCTGCCAGCAGATGGCGGCCTGTCTCAGGTGCCTCCTCACCCTACTGTGCCCTCTCAGGGCCTGTCTTCCCATTCAAAGGCAGAATCCTGTAAAGAGGGAAGGCTGGAGACCAGTGGCTCTCAACCTTCCTGATGCTGCAACCCTTTAATACAGTTCCTCATGTTGTGGTAACCCCCGGCCATAAAATTATCTCGCTACTTCACAACTGTAATTTTGCTACTCTTAAGAATTGTAACATTAATATCTGTATTTTCCAGTGGTCTCAGGTGACCCCTGTGAAAGGGTCATTTGAGCCTCAAAGGGGTTGTGGCCCACAGGCTGAGAACCATTACTGTAGACACTGGGGACTCACAGCACCTATCATGCAGGGAGCAATGGACAGATGGACAATTGGACACCTAGTCCCTTA